TATTCCGTTTTAAACTGGTTAAAAATTAATGACATGGTCAAGCATCACTATTCAGTTTTTGTTCACAAATTGCTGCTCACGTCTAAACCTTATTACTTGAAGGAAGAAATTTCATTTAATAATGATGTTCACTGTAGAACTCTCAGAGAAAATAATATTAGAATACCCCTGCATACATCTACACTTTTTAAACGCAGTTTTTCTCAAAATGTTGCTATTATTTATAATGACCTTCCTAAAGTATATAAAGAATTTTCATTACCTGTCTTTCGACAAAAAGTTAAAACATTATTACTCAACCCTCCAAACATATAATTTACGTAATCATTCATTTCTTTTTTATTCCATCTTTAATTCAGATTAATAATTTTTTGGTGCATTTGGGTTTGGAAAGTATGCCTCTTTCTCTTTTTTTTTTAAATTTTACTTTCGATGTAATGAACCAAATCTGTTTGTGGATAGTGTATTCTTTTGAACATCCGCTAGAGACTATGTTTAAGTGTAAGAGTAGCAGCATGCTAAACTTCGCCATATAAGTCTGACATTTGGCTATACTACAATGTAATTGTGGATAAATAAAGACGTCTATTATTATTACTCGTATTATTATTATTAAATAATGTCAGGAAAAACATGAAGCGATTTTGGGATAAATCTGGTGAGCGAAGCAAATACCTGATAATTTCAAGGACTACTTAAGAAATTCTTTTTTTTAAGTAATTAAAGTTTGGCAACGTCAATGTATTAAAATTAAAAATTCTATTCATCTGTACAAAAATGCAATATAGCGTCCTTAAGAAATAATAAAGTTGATGCTGGAGGGTAAGATATAGAAGATATAGAAATTCTGATTATGCCTCCTTGAGATGAGAAAACGTCGCAATGTTAATGTGCAATTTATTTCAAAATCTCAATATAAATAATGTCAGGAAAAAATCAAAACGATTTTGGGAAAATTTAATTTTTCCGACACTCTCCGGATGTACTTTGAATTTTTAAACTTTCTAAGTGTCATTTCGTTGACTACCCCATTTAAGCGACTTCGGATCCCTTACAGTTTCCAAGATCTCAATGGTGAGGGCCGAATTTGAATCGCCTTGTATATGCAGAGTCTCACTAGAAGAAAGAGGTAAAAATACTACAAGGATTTAATAACGTCTTTAAATAACAAAAAGTTAAAATGGCTGAACACAATTACAATAAAATTATCAAGATCTGCTTACATACTATATGTTTCACAGAGTTCGCAACATGGACAACAAGAACTGAGACTACGAAAATACACAGAAGTAAGACTTAAATCGCGTAATTTCGCATATTGCAACTGAAACAAAAATTTTCAAAAGTTTAGTGATTACAAACTCGTATTAATTATGGTTCTTGAAAGTTTGGTCCTCTATTGTTCGAATTTTTCATACTGCATTCATATTCTTCATTTTGCCATTACCAGGTGAATAAACAAAATATTTCTTCTGCCACTTGCTCACCCGAAAATGTTACAAAAGCTTATTGTTTTCTCCACGAACTTCATGTTTTTGGGGTCATTCTCTCCTCCAGTAGATCTTCAAGGTCTTCATCTTCTTGGTATATCACTCAGTTTTTTACACCGAAGCAGCCGCGCAGGTGAAGCCTACATACCAGGGCACCGCGGCTGCTTTGAGGAACTTATTCCTATTTTAGAACTGCCTAAAGTTAGTAAAACTGGAAAAAGTTCCTAATGGGAATTGTTACATGATCTGGACACCTTCGGGACAAAGGAGCGGTCTTATCGGCCAGTTCTGGATGTACGAAGTTCAACACGCTCACGATGGTAGGCCGAAGACAGGCGACACCATGGAAGAGAGCTCTGAGGAGTAAAGCCCGTTGGCGCAGCTACATCGACAACGGCCCGTCGGTGTGTAGGTGTCCCCAGACCGTCCATTAGAGAAGAGTAATCGATCATTAAATGCCTTTTGCGAAGCAGTTTCAGTCTTCAAGATAGTTTTGACACATTCTGATACCTGTCTCTGTCACTGGTTTCCTCTGATCTGTCAGAAATTTCTGTAGGAACAACGGATTAGCTGTCGGCAAACAGGAAACTGTACGAACAGGTAACATCTCTCTGATTCTGATTTTGACAGTCACCGACAAGTTACCGACTACTGGATAATGTAGAACAACGTAGAAAGCACTAAGAACTTCGAAGGGTTGTTTTGAATGCTGCGAATCGAATGTAAATAGCTCGTTTCTATATAGGCATACTTTAACTGGACTTCAAATAAGTCTGCTCCACAAAGCGCCAGCCCACACCCCGTGTCAGAGCCGTACCGAGGACACCAGGAAATGGTAAATTAAGTCAAATACATATCTATATTCAGTTCTATGCAGACAATCGACGTTTATAATGCTACATCCTATTAAAACCTGATTTACTTATTTAATTCTGTTTTTTTTTTATTAAATGACAATTTACACTTTTCTCAACAAAAAAGTGATGAATCTGAATAAAGACATTCATGGTTTCAGCATGCGACAGCAGCTCGTTATACCTTTTGAGAAATACAAACTTTTAGGCAGGACACCTAAAATTGTGTGCTCAACGTTTTTTAATAAACTGCCGAGTGATATAAAACGAAAAAAATCTTAAGTATTCGTAAGGTGAACTTGAATCGCAGTTTTGTTGAGAAAGCTCTGTATTTTGTAAATGATTTTATATGTACATATATGTGGTGGACGTGTTGATTTTTTTAATCTTGTTATTTTTTATATCTGTTGATGTGATTTTTTTGTTTCTTTTATATATTTTGTGTATATTTTATATGTTAGTATGTTTTGTCTAACTGGCAAATTCTATACGCGATTTTTTCTAATTTATAACAATGAATGATTGAATGAACACTCATGCCGCCTCTATTCGCTTAACATTGCCTGCCCGAGCGTTTATGACCTGCTGGCCAATAGGAGCATATAAATTTGGACGTCACGTGCTGTTGTTTATTTTGATGAGGAGCAAATGAGATTTGACCACGCTAATAACCGTCATCGGAACTGGTGAAAAGCAATCTTTCTGAAGTAAGGCGACTTCGCACGGCTAAGTTCCCGATCAGATTTTATTCAAGTCCAACCCTGTCCTTAAAGATAGCAATGTCGCAAACTATAGACTGACAGTCACATTCAGATATCACAGTGTATGGCCAGTAGAATCACTTTGGCTAATATTTGTCAGACGAGTGGTTTTTACGCTCACGCCGAGCAGCATAGGTTGTCGCACAAAGAGCACCAATGTAATCCGAGCTGCCGACGCGCTCGCTTCAGCCAGACACAGCGGTACGGAGTCGGACTCCACTTTCAGCGCTGTTATCTGCTTTGATCTGTGCATTGTTTAACGTTAAAGTGCTTGATTCGATTATGAATCAAACACGCCCTGCATGTTGATGACGGTTTCGAATTAGAGCAAGGGCTTTAAGTATAACTTCGGCGAAGAAGTTATGACGTCCTCTATTCCTATAGTTCGAAGGTTCTTGCTTGGATTGTCTCCAATTTTGACACAAGGGTATTGCTATGTCAATGATAGAACACCTTAAATGATTTTACCAATAAAGGCGCAGGAACAGGTATGAAGCGAAAATCTGAGAACGTCAGCAAACCAAATATTTTGAATGTTTTCTGAGTTGTCGATTATTTTTTGATGTAGTACGCTTACACGTCACAGATGCGAAAAATTCTTATTTGACGTTCTTCCACTTTCTGGTTATTTCGAGCCATAATAGAAATATACCTAGGTTATTCGAAAATTTTGAAACCAGGTATGCCTTCTACGGTTGCATATATCGCTAATAACGCTTACAATTTTTGCATAGCTTAAATGCCTCTGAGCCACATTTGATCAATTTAAGTGCAATGAATTTTGCAACCTGCTTTATTCAACTTCTTCCTATTCAGTAATCATATAGTTCTCGAAAAACGGTTGACATTTGATAGTTATCAAAAAGCACACAGCAATTTTCCGCGGAATCGCATACAATTATTTCCAAATAAGTATTAAAATATAGGATGAATTTTTGTGAAAATATTTATATTTAGCATTGACACAATTTGACCGGATGAAGATAGGATTATATAGTGAGCACATCTCAATCTTCGTTATATAGTCTTCTTGATGTATTGTGGCTGATGCATTCTACAAATTACTTCACTCCCGCCGGTACCGATTCGATCCTTTTTCAAAATCATTCCCTTATATCCAACAGGGAATTTCTGACCATCAGAGACTTTATACTGTCATCCATACAAGTTAATGATTATGATGTTGCTTTTACTATTAGCTAATCAGATCCGCTCTGCTATACATGCGAGTATTTGAAAAATAGTCGGAGATATTTTAGAGGGTGACTTCTTGTTAAAAAATATGGAAAAAAGCTTCTATAAGCATGGGTCCACAAATGCAGCGTTTTCAAAGTACAGGGTGATAAATTTACAAAAAATCCAACGTTTGATGTATGTTAGTGTACTTTATGACATGGTACCTATTGGAAAAGTTACGATAACACTCTTCACTAGACATTTTTTGGATATCTTGTTTTTCGAGGCGCTTGTTACTTCTTTGGCAAAAATTATTAAACCAATTTTGTCCAGTGACATGCAACAAAACATTTTTTTTTCTCCAAAACGAAGTGTGATAAGTAATAAATACAAGATTCAAACAAGTTGTATTTTCAGATACTTAAAAAACAACAAATATTAAAATTATAAAAAATGTAGTGACGTACATTTTTTGCCAATAATATTCGCTAAGGTGCCCCCGGGATGCCACTGGACCTATTGATTTTAATCTATTTAGGGCTAAATTAACCTCTTAGTATAATAAATAATCTGACTTGACGCTGTAAATAGCGGTGCGCGAGCCACAGTAACCGATCGCTTATGTGTCAGAAGCTGAAATATGTAATGGGGAATTTGCCTGAGTGTAGCTTCTGTGTTCCAATTCTGTAATATTATTGAAAGCCTGATTTGCAACTTGCCTCGTCTTTATATTCGTCAAAGGGATCCAGATTTCTCCTAAACGTTCCAGAAAACAGCACAGGTTCCTGTGGGATGATCGAAATACTACTCCTTAATCTCTTCAAAGGTATCGTTTTGGTGTCAATATTATCTATCAATATCCTGCCCTCTACGTGAGCTAATCTGAACAAAGCCTGGATCAGTGAGGATTTACCTGCACCAGTTCGACCGACAATACCAACTTTTTCCCTTGGTTGGACGACAATTGTCACTTTTTTCAGAATAAAGGGTTCATTTGGGGAGTACTGGAGTGACATATTGTCGAATTCAACTTTTCCTTTGTCAGGCCATTCCGTTGGTGGTTGATATTTACCTGAAACAATCACAAACCTAGTTGATTCCCAAAAAAGAAGAGTATTCTGAACAACAACAGTGCGAAATATGTGTGCCGATATTTTTGACTCTGAGGTAGTGAATGCAATCTCGCGAGATTTCGGACCAGGCACGATCTCGCGAGACTACCCAACCAGTCTTGCGAAATTTCGAGGCTTACGAGATCTCGCGAGATTGGGCGTTTTTCAGTGAATGTATGCAAATTTAGGAGTTCCACTGATTATCAACATTTAAATAAAAATGGAAATTACTGCCAGCATACTTAAAATTGGTCCGCGCCCAGCCTGTCAGTTGAGTGGCACGTGAGTCAATCGGAACGAAACGATCGGATCTGTTGGCATGGATCCGATAATGGAACGAATCCAGGAAAACCAAATTCTTTAATGTACCCGGGACAATCCAATACTAATAGTCCGCCAGCCCGCTAATCCCACCGCGTCTGCGCTGCGCCGCGAGAAGAGTTTTCACGAGTATCCATAAATATAAAATAACAGCTAATTATCTAGCAATATTTGAATTTCGACAATTGTAACACAATTGTGACGCATGTGTCAACACCAGGTAGAGAGAGTTGTATTTGGTTGTTCTTTTGTTTTGTACGCTACGGATTCATTTTGTTCTTGCTAACAACTCATTTATTTAGTTCCTTCGCATTCAAAAAACAACAAGCAAAATGGTTGCTGAATGTAATGACTACATTTCAAGTGAGGTTGGGATGAAATGAAATAAACAGTTTTTGACCTTGTTAATGATCTCTACTTTTTAGAACTTCAAACACCATATGACTATACATGGCAATTAAACAGCCATATTAAAATTACATTACACTGATGACGGACCATTAATCGGAAACATGAGTCTGTATTATTTTTACATGTAGAGTAACAGCTACTTAAAAAGCGACACAGTCTGTTCTATTGACTTACCTCGTAATAAAAAAATCCCCAGTAAAATACAATAATTTTCTAATAAGCATTCTCCTATGCGTACTTTATTATCAGAACTCCCAGTCACTAAAAGTATCTATACCATAACTATCTAAAACTATAATGACTCATCGATGGTCACGTGAACATCATCAAGCCACCCGGTAGTCGGGTTGTCAGTACATTTGTATGTGGGTGAGCTTGATTTCTGCTAACAACAAACAATATCACGCGGTAACTAGACTCCTAACGAAACAAGTTCCAAGCACTACTAGTCTACGCCAATGTGTCGGGCTTTGTAGCTTGTAGCGCGGAAGCGTTCAAGCGTCATCTTATCTCAGGACCGGAATGAGTTTTCATTCTTCCTTTTAGCTTGATTATGGTAATATTCAAGCGCGTTCCTTACTCTTAGCATGTGCTTATCAGTGGAAAACAATACTTTATGATTTTTAAGGCCACAAAATCATCTTGAACTGTAAAACGTAAGATATAAGATATTAATGCAAATAAGATATTTCCCAAAAAAGCAAACTTCTTACTTACTAGAATAAGCCCGCAGTTTCGCCCGCATGATAATCAATAGTGTTACAGGCAAACAGCATGCCGCGCGGCATCAGCTATTCGTTCATTGTTCAACAGCTGAATCGTAGTGTAAAATCCACAGTGAGTTAGCATAAAAGCCGACTATAATTTCCTCGGGATAATAAGTATAACCTGGCGAATTTTCACGGGATTTCGTGTCTCATGGCGATCGAACAAACTTACTTGAGGGAAAAAATTAAAAATCACCCGAGCGGGATAAAATGAAAGCCCAAAGCTCAACCGCTTGGGCAAACCAAGTCATTTGTCATCCATTCCGAAACAGGCAAGGACCTAATAAGGCAACCAGAGGACGATTGAAAATGACTACTTTCTCATGAAAAGCATTATTGTGGCTTGTTTATAAGAGATCGCTATATACTTCCGCGGATTTTTTAGTTCTTTTGAAGATCCTTCCTTTTCCACCATTTAGGCAGCGAACGCAGTTACAGTAGCACAATCGTGATTTTTAAATTTTATTCGAGCAGATCGCTATGGAAGCTTTCTCCTTAAAATAAGTCCAAAAATTCATACACCGTTTTACTCAAGATTATTATAACAACTGAATGAGATCTTGTGAGCATAGTAAAAAATTAAAATTGTAATAAAGACATGAATCAAAACCGTAGACCCATATTTTCCCAATTTTTGTTCATTAACATACTTGTATTCTAATATCTCAAAGTTTTCCAACATGATTGTGGGACATTTTGTTAATCGATTAAAATGCGTATCATTAAGGATACCCCCTTTTCTAGCCTAACACCTCTCGACAGCCGTTCCGTCGCCCGGCGGCGGTCAGTCTCTGATCACGCGTATACGAAATAATTGTAAAGTCCGGTTTTATTGGTGCAAGTTGTTCAAGGAGGTATTTAAAACATGGACGCATAAAATGGGTACACCAATGTTTGTGGGAAAACTGTTTATTTGGCAGCAAATTATGAGAAACCGTGTTTTTTTGGCATCCAAACGAATGTGTTGACAGGAACGAAAAAAAATTTCGTATAAGATTTTTAGGTATATATGAGACCTACAAAATGAGACCACAAAATATTGAGATAAATACAACATGCGTTATTTAGAAGTATGAATCCTACGAATTTGTAGAATTTCAAATATCTGCGAGAAACCATCGTCGCATTACCAACAAGTGTTAAAAACTACAGTTTGCCTCGGTTTTTGGCCATAACTTTTTTGCTATTAGTTGGATCTTTTTACGTGTACTGTAGTTTATCTTTCATAGGTCTTATAAATACCTAAAAACCTTATAACTATAGTTTTTCCGTTCCTGCCAATACTATCGATTGAATTCCAAAAAGCACGTTTTGTCTTTCTTTGTTGTCGAATAAAAACTTATCCCACAAAAATTGGTGTACCCATTTTATGCGTCCATGTTTTGAATACCCCCTTGAATAACTTGTAGCACTAAAACCAGACTTTACAATTATTTCGCAAACCAAGGGTATGTTCGTCTTATATGATTAGACTAATAGTTACAGTATAGATCTAATAATTCGCAATTTATGTTTGAGGGACATTACTGAAATGAGGGATAAGGAATATTTTATTCATTTTGTTTCTGAAATATCACTGACATGTTAAAAATGTTTAATGAGATTTGGTCCATATTTAGATTAACAGATCTTTTTAATATATCGTTTTATTGCATCCTTGATAATGTCAATGCAATAGTTACACGTATGTAAGATGTACATCAATTGGTCTAGTTACAACGAAAAAGTAACAATCATTTCTTGTACGTATATATTTTTGATGACTTTGTGTTGTTCCGTTTCGTCAATCCATGAAAAATGTATTTGCGAAGAAAATAAGACACCCACATACGACATAATATACAGGGTGTCCGCAAAGTTGGGCTTTTCCTTTACACGACGTGTAGATCTTGAAAACATAAGCAATTTTTCTTAGTACCATATACACCAATGTCTTAAGGGAACCGAGATAAAGGGCTCTGCAACATCAAAAATATCTGAATACCGTCCTGTAGCCGCGACCCGGGACATCACCGATTGGTACAAGGTCTCAACCCGACGGCAGAACTGGGTCGGGGTCAGTGTGTCAGGTCAGTATGCAACCTTCAACCGACGGTTACGGTCACGCGTGTAGAGGTAAACGAACCTATATAATCGATTGCGTTTCAAAAAACAACAAGCACTAGACACGTGGCTAGTGAAGTGCAAGTATCAAAAACTAAAGTGTGGCAAACGCTGCGTGAAGAGGGGCTGTATCCGTTTCACGTCCAACGTGTACAAGCCCTTCAACCTGACGATTTTCCAGCAAGAGTGCGGTTTTGTGAGTGGTTGTTGCATCAACATGACAATAATCCGGACTTTTTGAAGTGCATATTGGTGACAGGCGAATCTACGTTCACGCGTAATGGGGTGAATAACTTTCGCAACACTCATGTTTGGTCATTACGCAACATTTTGCCTTCCTTGTTTGCCTGCCTCTGCTCGATAGCGCATCAGCTGATTTCATTTTCTGTTGGAACGGTATGATTTCGGGCAGAGACGTACTTAGCCCTTCTCGTCAACTGCAGAGTGAGTACTTTTTCCTTTATTTTTTTTTACTTGGCCGCCCTCGTTTCACTACACATTACCTTTGTTATTTCAAGGGTAGTTGTTTCTGAAAAGGAAAACCCCAACTTTGCGGACACCCTGTATAATAAGAAATGCTGATTTGAAATTTGCGCAAAAAGATCGGTTTCAGATAAATTGTTAAATCGCGGAATAGCCAGTTATACATGCTTATCAACGGCACCCAAACCTTTTTTGTTTGTTTTAGTCTGGGGAGGAACTTTATCGAAAGCCAGAGCTCATATTAGGTAATACATATACTTGGCTCCATTATTTAGAGAAAATACTTAACCCCTGGCGTACCGTGGGGCTATAGGGGGATACAGACGAAAGGAGGAACGCCTCACGGACTCTGGCGAGGGAACACGTGTGCATGCAAGATGTACACATTCTGGCCCCGCCTACGAGATCCGCCGGGTGGTACCTCCGCGTTCGACAGTCATAAGCCATCTACCACCTACGGACAATCACAACATGTATAGTCAAGAGAAAAAATTCTCTTTCGATGGGATTCGAACCCGCGCATCGCACGGCGACTGATCAGGAGACCGAAGAGCCTACCACTGCGGCCACCGCTACTGCCTGAAGCATACATCCAGCGAATTTATTAATTAGGGGTAACAACGCACGAGCCGCTAACCGCGGCGGATGGCGGTCACGCGGATGTTATTTTGTGTAGGAATAATTGGCAGACAACTCACTGGCAACCACGTAACCGCGCGGATGAGCGGACGCCGGCATTGGACGCGGCGAACAGCCATCCGCGACGGTTTCCGTAAAGCAATCCGCACTTCCCCGCGGTAGCGCTCATCCGCCACCCGCCGCGGTGCGCGGCTCGTGCGTTATTACCCTTATAGTCGGCAACAGAGCGGGTGTGCCATGATGGACAGTAGCACGACTCAAGTATTCTAGATATGGTTTTATAGTGATATGTTTTATATGAACAAATATTTAATATTGCAATAAGAGTACCTGGCACAATACAAAGTTATGACCACTGAACATTCCAATGAAATATTTGTGAAAGATTCGAATCTTCATTACAAAAGCAGACATTTTCTTACATAAATCCTTTCAGAAATATTGAAGCAATATTTTGTAAGGATTTTAAAACATTGCGATTATTACAATGTGATACTCGTGAAACTGGGTTTAAATGCATAGCGCAGTCAGGGATTCAGATCGCGGGATCTCTGCGATCTCTGTCTAAGCCACTACTGTGAAATGTATGTGATTTACTCATTTATATTAATCAATGAAACAACTGTAACAGAGACATATCTACGTCACTAAGTGCTACTACTTACCTTCATCAGCTTCTTGTTTCAAAACCGCATATTCCTGAACTCTCTGAACCGACGTCATTTGATTTTCCAACTCACTCCACTGTCTCATGCCCCATTGGAACATCCCAGTTATTCCCATGGCCTGGGTCAAGGCTAAACCAATGTTGCCTCCAAATGTTTCTGGAAAAATAAGCACAAAGCAATACATAAAATAGCATTCAAATCGATCTTTCTTTTATTTTTTCATATTCTCGACATTGTTCCGATTATTGTAACTCAAGTTACATTCGTGTAAGTAACTTATTTACTTACCACTTTTGACAAAAAGCAGGATAAATATAGCAGCTGCTACATATAAGACACATATGGCATCCAACCAGAATCCGAAAGTTCTAGAAGCTCCAAGAAACATGAAGTAGGCAGCAGTGTTTTTGTTCTGGTAGATGTCAAATTCCTTCGTTAAAGTTTGCTCAGCCTTCAAGGCCCTTATTGTCGTAAGCCCTTGTAGAGACGTCGACAGGTGGGTAAATATGGGACTTCTTGCTGAAATTAAGTATTTAAAGTTTATATTTTACAGTAGACAGAAGTATCAAGTGTAAGTTCAAACGATTAATATGTTGATAAAACAGTACATTCTCAAAAAATGTTTCTGCCTTCCAGTGCACCAAATTATATTTACGGTGACTAAAAAAGGGGACAGAAAGTACACTGTAAATGAAACGAAATATTTCTCAAGGCGTGTGATGTTCTAAAATGACTCTGCAAGATGCTATAAATGTTTACATCACTGATTGAATATATTCAAAAAAACTTAAGAGGGACAAGTATTGTTTTCCAGTAGGTGACGAAGTATTTTATTTTCTACGTTTCTGGTTCACCTTATGTCGGATTTTTTCTTATGATATGCTCATTACTTGTATAAAATCTAGAGTGGATACCTACACTGCCGTCATAAGCTTGAACGTAGTATGTGCACACAATGCGAAAATGAGATATAGTCATTATACTATGAAAGGTACGTAGAAAAATCATATTTCGATGATAAAATACAGTATATCTCATGATAAATATCGAAAATCTAAAATTTTTCGTTTACGGTATCGAGCATTTTCTCGATTATCTCAAATAAATTAAAACACAGCAAATAACCCGTACTTACTGCATTCTTGCTTAGAAACCACACACATACTTCGTTTTGATTTATAACCAAAGCAAAGGCACTAGCAGGTACCATTAAAGATACACTTAATCACACTGAATTCATAATATTTTTAATTACTTTTCGTCACTTACGTGCATTTGTCAGGATTCTGTAGAACATTTTCATACGTTTCATATACTAAAGATTATATACCCAGAAGGTGCGATAAACAACATTGCGTTGAACTTACTACGTTATTAATTAAAGAGACAGCAGTTCAGGTAAATCGGAAGTAACAGTATATGCTTTTTTTATTTATAGATCGGCACCTTGGTAAAATTAATGAATTCGTTTGAAAATATTATTAATTTTAACCGGGTATGAACCAAAAGTATTCTTTTTCCTCAAAACTTAACAATTCGAGAAGGGTTACAACACGTTCTCATCGTTTCTGTAAAATGTGGAAATAGCAAGTGCTACATTTTGGCTTATAAAGGCGGACTCCCACTACTCGTGTATTTGGCAAGTACGCCAATATTTGCGTACTTGCCAAGTACACCAAGGTTCGAATTCAATTTACAAATAGGGCGCTCCCACTACTCCTGTATTTGGCAAGTACGCCAATATTTGTGTATTTGGCAATTACAGCAGGTTTCGTTGCCTCTCGGTCTTCAGTGTTTGTTTTCTTTCCATCATGGATAGTCGCGTAGTCGCTTCAGCAGCGTTTGTGGTATTGAGTGGCTGCATGAGAAGAATTAAAGCTCATCAAGTTCAGAAAGCAAAAAGAAAAAGAAGATGGTGGATGACTTCTTTGAGCAGAAGTCGAGAGAGGTAAGTTAATACCTCTATCTGTCCTGATCTACCAAAAGCAAATACCATGTCTTTATATTCTCAAGATTGATACACTGGTCAAAATTATTTTTTTGCAGGTACAATGTCTCCATTATGATAGAGGACCTGATTCGAGAACCGTCAGGAAGGTTGGAGAATTTCCTGCGAATGTCCTACACCGACTTCGAATTTCTACTGAATGAGGTGGGACATATGATAGGGAAAAAAGATACTCAGCTGAGGAAGGCAATTTCAGTTAAGGAAAGGTTCTGCGTTGCTCTCAGATTCTTCGCTAGTGGTGACAGTTTCGTGAGTTTGTCATACCTCTTCAAATTTTCACCACAAACTGTATCCCGGTGCGTTTTCGACGTTTGCGATGCATTGATTAGCGTTCTCAACCATCAAATAAAAGTAGGTATACAACAAACATTTCTACATTGTTTATTCAGTTAAGAAATAAGGTAAAAGCATGGTTAAAGTTAAATTAAAGTATGGTCAAAGATTAGTATAGTTTTCTGTTAATAAGGATACATCATTGCAAGTAGTTATTGGAATCTCAGGAGCAAGAGGCGGTTGGTGGGCGGAAGAAGTTGCAGAATTCTGTGGCAAAGAGGTGATCGTCGGAGTTGTATGAAAAGTTTCATCAGACGATGACGAATAGAAAGATGCTGGGTTCTGGAAATGCCGATTGATATCGAGGTCCCATCGATGACGAATAGAAAGAAGTTGGAGATTGATATTGAGGTCCCATGGACCTCATTGTTGCCCTGAAGAATAGGTTATCAATCTCGTTCATCACAATAATCCTGTCCACTTCGCTTAACGTCTCGAGCCTCTTAGCCACTAGTTGCCCATAGGCAGTACAAACAGTGGTTTTGGGTGGTTCGGTATTTTGACATTGTTTCAGGATTTCATAGGCTTCTTCCATACGACGGTTAGTCTCCTCCATGTCCACGGCCTTCCTTTTATTTTTCTTTGCTCCCCCAACTGGTGCCTGGAAATGCTTTTGGTTGCTTTCAGTGCTTTTTTCGATTCCACCCTCGTTGTTCGCAGATGCAGATTCCGTGTTTGCCTCGATTTCATTACTGTCTTTTCCTCGCATGTCTGCCTGTCTCTGTATATCTTTGTATGTCCCACCGTCCCCACTTGCAGACGCAGATTCCGTGAGTGAATCTTCTTCGGTTTCCTCTTGGGGCATGCTATCCTCCCAATTCTGAAATGAGACAGATGATTTTTTAGCTTCTAAGCATGATTTTACCTTCAAAATAAAGAAATTTAACGCACAGGGCGGCCCAAATTCGAGCGGCACGTTAGTGAGCACCAACATACGCAACGTTGCCACAATTTAACCAAAGCTGTAGTATACTAGGAGATCTCAATGATGTGTCTAGAATTTGGGCCACCCTGTATACGATATTACACTCTGATTATATTCATTAATAATGCTGTCTTCAGGTTTCTAGTTATTATTTCTTTATTCCAGATGCCGAGAAGTTCAAATGAATGGAAAAAAATTGCAATTGAATTCGAGAATAGGTGGAATTTCCCTCATTGCTTGAGAGCTATAGACGGGAAGCATATACTGATTCAGAGCCCAATGAATAGTGGATCAAATTTTCTTAATTACAAACACACTTTCAGTGTTGTTATGATGGCACTTGTGGAGGCCAATTACATGTTCACATATGTGGATGTTGGATGCCAAGGCCGTATAAGTGACGGAGGTGTATTCCGCAATACCGTTTTGGGCAGAAAACTCGAAGAAAATAGACTGATGTTACCCAACGGTGAAACTCTACCCAATCATACTCAAACTACTTTTCCTTACGTTTTCGTCGCAGATGATGCTTTCGCTTTGGGACCCCATTTATTAAAACCATTCCAAGGAGTCTACGAAGCAGGCAGCGATGAAAGAGTCTTCAATTACCGGTTGTCTCGTGCTCGGCGCATTGTTGAGAACGCATTCGGAATACTAGCGTCGGTCTTCCGGGTGTTTAGAGCACCTATGCTACTACAACCCGACAAAGTCAGCAAAGTAGCAATGACTTGTGCACTGCTTCACAATTTTTTACGGAGCAGTAAAGACTCTTCTGCTACCTATGCACCGCCAGGCGCTATCGATACGGAGCAAGACGGCACAATTATTCCCGGCACATGGCGAAGCGATGTACAAAATATGACATCTTTCCTACCCCTCAAAAAAATACCAAGAAAAGCTGGTCGTGAGGCTCAGGAAATAAGGAAATTATTTTGTGGCTATTTCAAAACTACTGGAAAGGTTCACTGGCAGGACCGTTACTGTTAAATATTCATTGTACCGTTCCAATATCTTAAAATAAAACAATCTTTCACTCACCTCTGAATTATATGTATTCCTTGCGACTGAAACCCCATGCAGAAAGCTCTCCATTTTCTCGAATGCAAACCAAGTTGGTTTATAAACGTCCTTGCTGCCGGTCCCTGTTTTTGATGATGCCTTAACTTTCCTCCACAATGGTCGAAATGACGCCATCAATGACTCTTTCTTCTTTTTCAAATCGGCAACCGTACATTCGATCGATATTTTATTTTTGATGCGTAGCCAGGCATCGTTAATCAAGTTTCTGTTTTTATGTTGTGGATGCGTAGGTTGCCATATAACTGGCTCATTTTCATACAGATCGAGAAATTCAAAAACGACTTCTTGTGACCACCCCATTTCGAAAAACCTCTAGGGGAACACGCACCACGCACACGCAACAGAAGCCAAACACAGACTCAACTGTAGAAATTAATTGCGGCCAAGCCGGCAAGTAGTGGGAGCGCATCGACAAGTATAAACTTGTCAAATACGCAAATAATTGAAAATGCTTTGACTCGCGGTATTTTTACCGACAACCTGCGGGACTTCTCCAGCTGCAAATAATTGTACAAGTAATGGCCGAGTGAACCACTCCCACTACATGGCAAATATAGGCAAGTGACAAATATTTGCCAAATACACGAGTAATGGGAGTCCGCCTTAACGGCAGTACATCGGATCTATATTTTTTGATTTATTGATTTCCGGAAAGCAAGTTTTAATACCCTGTATCCGTTCAAGCTGAGAATTCTTACCCGCCTCTAAATGTGTGAGCTTAGTAAGAATAGATACTCTTGCGTTTGGCTTTTATTGTTTTTCATTGAATAACATATTTTACACAACAGTTAAATAATGCGTTTTATTCGAGAAGAATCACAATTTTACAATCTTTAGCAATACACTACAACACCAAAAGTGTCTGATTGGAGCTCCAACATACACAACTATGCAACTCATCCTAGATGCAGATTATTACACTGAAAACAGAATGATTACCATTACATAGGATTAACAAGATAAAAACGAAAACGGGATTCATACAAAATCATTTTTCTGGTCTACCGTGCAGAAAAAAAAATTGGTAAAATAATATTAACTAGCTCGCTAACTTACTTATAGACTCTATCCTCTTCACATCTCTGCTGGTTTGTAAGTACACCGTCCTGAGTATGTAAAATAACACCACGATTACAATACTTGGAATAACGATCCAGTAGCTTAAACTTCCTATTACAATGCTTATAGCAACAACTCTCACACCTATCTGGAAAGGAAAAGCCATTTTTAATCATATTTCAAGATGACAAACTGACATTTATGATGCTTAGTGGATAGTGTACTACACGTGCACATACATAATACCTTACACTATAATCTAGAAGAGCTGTTCTTTAAGGTTCCTCCACACAACGCGATACAGCGATAGTGGTAGCGTTAAAAATCGCATACAGCGTGATAGCTGTACGTTCACACCACCGCGGTACAGCAATTTTCCTATCTGCGCGATATACTCAAACGTTTTTTGATTTCTCATACAATATGTCTTCTGATGAAGAAGAACTATTATTATTATTGGTGTTAGCATACGATAAAAGGCGAAAAAGGTAAGTATTTTGATGATAATCATTAGTTAATGATAATTAATAATTGTGAATAAGAAAAAAAAGAAATGGATACATGATATCAATAAACATAGGAGGATATATGGAGAATATGATTCTTTAAAGCCCGAATTTCGAAGATATTCACAACGTTGTTTTACGTATATTCTTTGTGACTTAAATCTTACAATATTGGGTACTTTTTAACTTGTTCAATTAATTTCTACGTTGTGGACATCATGAAAAACGTGGCGGTATGCGATACGAACCGCGTCAGCAGCATAAAACGCTGTCAAGGCGATAAGCCGCGGGCCATCCCACCGCGCTGGTGTGATCGGTATATTTACCGCTCTGACAACTGAGCACCGCATGGACAGCGGTGCGATTATCGCTATCGCCTTACCGCGTCGGTGTGGGGGATCCTTAATTCATTCACGGAGCAAAGTTTCAATTTCTTTTCTGTAGCTGTTACGCTGGACAAAATGATCGTTAACCTCAAAAAGCTTACAGGCAATTAATTTTCAGAAAATGTCAGGTTTTTTTTTTTTTTTTTTTTGAGTTAATCACTACAAAGGCTTGCTATTATTTCATATTTTTGTTGTGTGTGTGTGTGTTGTTTGTATAATATGCGCATCGCTTCCGCGCATCCCGTCAGGTCCCTTCCGTCCAACCTCAGACACTCTAAGCCAGTCTTTCACTACGCTGCCATTACGTTTCACGCCTCTGTCGGTACTAGTTGCGTCATTATACTGCCTTGCTTGTCGTTAAGTCATGCAGTAAACCTGCCGGCTGTGGAGTGTGTTCAATAATTTGATTTTTGAACGCGAAAACGTGCGTCCTGCTATAAATGTTGAGATGTGTTGTGAAACTCATTGAAGCTTAGGCGCGCTATTCAAACAGCCGCCGCGGCCTGCTCTTTACCGGCGTCATTCTGCTTCATGGCAATGCTAGGCATCACGTTGCGACAAGAACATAGAGGCAGTTTTGTTGAGATTCACTGGATCATCTACTTTACATCCTTGACTTGGCACCATCAGACTTTCATCCTTCTCCAAAGCTTAAGGAATGTCTTCGTGGATAGAGGCTTGGAAAATGACATGTAGAAGGAAACAGCGACTAAATGAATTAAGGGTCAGGCAAATGGTGGTACCACGAATTCACAAATGTTTAAGTGAATAATCTGGTTTCAAAACCCGACAAATCCAATTTTGGCGGAAAATGAGTTGGATATAGCAAAATATTCAAATCAATTTAGTATATCTTGATACTTCAGAATACTGCAAATATAATTTTTGAATTACAAATAACTGTTAGTTTCAAAACAGTCAGAGTTGAAATCAAATACTGAAAAATCCAGATTTTCCAATCAGAACAGCCGAACGAGGTCATACCCTCCACTGATTATTCTTTCTTAACTTCTTTGGGTCCACACTCGCAAGGTTCTCAATACAGTTCTCGTGCTTGCTGACGATGAACGGAGAATTGAATGACGTCGACACCAGCACCAGATTTTTCCGATTTCTTGACTTTATTTTTATACCCTCTGTAGCTGGCTAATAACGATTCTTTTCTCCAATGGGTAATTCCATGAAGGTGCTAATACGTTTCCACGCATCGTGGGCTTTTAGTTTATATTTATATTCTTTTAAATTTGTATTCTACAAAATCGGTTCTGCTTGAAAATATTCTAGGAATGCCAATTCTAGTTCGTCCGTCCAAATCTGGCTCAAATTGATGCACAACTATTCTAATCGGCGAGTCACCTGTCACTGAGAAACATGCGAGTGTGGAGTCAATACAAGTTATCGTCTGTTCTCGCGTTCTCAGTTCTCTTGTCTCGCGCCAAAAAATCGACAAAAATCGGAAAACAAGCCGAGAACCTGTGAAGATTATGAAAATCGATTCCACATTCACATTTCTCACGTACTTCTCACTTTCTCGCGAGATTCTCGCCTGAGTGTGGAGAGGCTTTTACATCACAGAGCTAGTACATCTAATCATTTTTTTGTGTATAAATTTGAAAATATAATAATTACCAATAGCGTATATTTAATTAATGTAATAACACCGCTAAACAATTAGTATTATTAGATACTAATAATGGAGTTAATTGGTGAGTCCCTTAAGCCGGTTACCCCAGATTTGGCGCAAAAACGTGTTTACCGAACAATGTGCGAAAGAATGAGAGGTGAGAAGCATTTTTTTAAAATTAAATAATCCGTAATTTTCAGATATAAACCTACAGATTTACATGATTGTCCAAGTTGTCAGCATAATCACATTAGCAAATTTCCCCAGAATAGTTCTAAGGTCTGCTTTTATTGGTGCAAGTTGATCAGGGTATTAAAACATGGACGCATAAAGTGGATACACCATTCTTTGTGTTACAACTTCTTATTTGACAACAAAGAATGAGAAAACGTTTCTTTTTTTTGGACTCAATCGAAAGTGTTGGTAGTAACGGAAAAACTCTTTATATAAGGTTTTTAGGTATTTATGAGACCTACAAAATGAGACCACACGTAAAAAGATCCGACTAATAGCAAAAAAATTTTGGCCGAAAAACGAGGCAAAATGCAGGTTTTGGCACTTGTTGGGAATGGGACAATAATTTCGCGCAACTACTTGAAATTCTTCAAATCCGTAGTTCTAAATAACAACAACAAAAATGGAGTATATTGGTCAAGTAGTTTTTTGAGAATCTCTAATTTTTTATCCCAACGCACCTGTTTTACGGTCATCCTTACTAGTTTATCGAGCAATATACAGGGTTCGTTTAAACAGCATTTAATAGCAAAATGCACGACATGAATCACAAACCATTTCGAACGATAAATGTTATTTTTATGAGAAAAACAAAGCTTACGTTTTTTTCTTCTAAGCAAGCTCAAACAATTCGTATTTGAGAGTAATTGAAGAAATGCGTTACGATATTCGGAAAACATACGTTACTATACACATTTTAAATCAAAGCGGATGTGTCTAGCATCTTTTGTTGTGAATTACTCACAAATCAAAATGTTAGAATTTGTTTAGCAAGGAAAAACGTAACCCACATTTTTTGAAAAAAAAATAACATTTATCTTCCGGAATCGTTTGTGATTCATATCGGCAAGGTAAACTAGTGTATTTTGCTATAAAATGCCCTTGGAACTAACCCTAACCTCAATAAACTAGTAGTGATGGCCGGAAAACAGGTGTTTTGGGACAAACAATTAGATATTCTCAAAAACTAGTTGACCAGTCTACTCCAATTTTGTTGTGGTTTTTCGCAAACGAAGGGTATTTTCGTCTAACATGATTAGCATGCTAAAAAAATGTTATGATGCAGCCACCTGTCGATGTGTGATGTGAAAGAGTTTCATCGATATTTTTATTTTCATAATTATTGGGAGACACATGATATTAAACGTCGACGCCGTCTAGGCAATCAAAACTATCGAAAAAATAATAACGTATAATATTGGCCTCGCTCAACTAAACAAAAACTCTGATTGCCTAAAAGTCTAAGATAAAGAAGAATCGCATAATAAGTGTGTTCAAATGACAGACACCTTGGACGGGCCTCAATAGACTCCCCATGACATAGTCTGCAACATACAGTCGGCTATATTTCGTTATCTGTCCGTTAAAGTTTCCCTTTTTATCCACCGAGTGCACGGCGATAAATTCAGTTACCCCCTCCCCACTCTGCTTTTCGCCCTTGGCGAATAATTTAACACCATACAGTTTGTGCGGCAGTCCGGCAGTACGAAACAATGCTGCTGCAGTTGATCATGGTTACACAGACAGAAAGCGCATATCCATATAAACCATATACTGTAAGATGGATCCACTGTTATGGTGGTCTATTCGTCATTGTTTCTCAGAGCGGTCCTTAAGACCTATGTTCTTGGTTAAATTATCAAGGGTATGTTCATCAGGTCTGGCTGCCCAGAAGTCACGCAGAAAGCAGGGAAGAATATAGAAAGGAAGGAAGGAGGGAGAGTAAAGAGGAGGAAGTGTTAGCTAGTATTCGGAAATTGTAAATTGATCCTAAAATTAATTTAGAGATGGGTTACTGTAAAAGAATTGTAATGTTGGTTATTGCAACATCTGATATTTATCCTTTGGTTTACATGTCCATAATCCCCCATGCTTATCTGGCCACTAAAACCACAAGTAGTGACATATCTTCTATACTGTAGTAAACGTTCTGTCATAGAGGTGACCTTCAGAACAATGACAACATTTTATTGGCCAGATAAGCACGGGGGATTATTTTAATTTTGGTTGGACCCAAAAACGCACGATTTAGTTTTGTTAACACTGCGAGCCATTAGTCTTGTGTGCTTGGGAACTTGCACAGTCGTGTAGTCTACTGACTCACGCAAGTGTTGCTAAGCGATTCCTCTTAACGATCGTTAAGCAGGTGCGACTAATATTTGTGCGTCGAGCTGTTATGAGGCAGAGGTGCAAGGGTCTTCTGCAATCTTCATGGTATGGAATGAGGATGAAGATCAGCTTAGCAAACCATTGGTAGGTAGAGATCGTCAGATTTCTCATCTACTTCTACACATTATTTTGAGTTTTTCGTAAGACCGTATCCACCTGTTTGCTTTTCGTTCGCCTATCATCAGGATTACCAGTTCTATACCGTAACGATGAATTGCTAATGAACACAAAACTGCTCAATCTGCGGTTGGTCATGGTTACAGAGACGGAAAGCAAACACGGTTATTTCATACTGTTTACCAAGCATATTCGGAATTCGACTGAGAAGTTAAACAAAGGTAATAGACGTTTCTTACCTGAACAGTATCCAGTAACGTATAAGGCAGCATCTCATCAAGAGACCCAATATCTTTCGAGAATCTGTTCAAAATCCTCCCTGAAGGATTCTTGCTGAAAAACAGCATGGAGCTGTACACAATATTATCCATCATATACTTATGAAGCGTTGTAGAAGCGGTCAAGCACCAATTGTAGAAATATATGGATCTGGCTAAGGTCAACACTACGATTGATATGCAGAGTGCGCTGTAGTAGGCTATGGCTTTTTCACTATCGGAAAATAATGGTCGCAACCACCAGTCTGCATAAGGATCTTCAATAGTCGGCCTTGAGTCGCTGTCGTTCAAACTGACAGTTAGTGCTGTAGGGGTAGATGCGTTTGACGATCTCACTTGCTCAATGTTCACCCTAAAAAAGTTGGGTTAGGTTTCATTTTTATTAAAATTCACAGAACAAGAGTCTCGTCCTCGAAGATAGTCTGGTACGAATACAGAAGAGAGTAGCAAAACACATCGCACGCCATTGCTAACTTGACGTATTTTTGATTAGGGCAGGATTCTTATATATATTTATATATATTGAGTCGCTCAACAACCAATCGTCAACGCGCTATATCAATCTTCTTCTCTTGGACTCTATCAAATAATAAAATATGTTATTTTCTTAATCCGAGGATCCCATATCTTACTGCACATTCACATAGACCTTTATAGAAGAATAAGGTTGATACAGATAAAGATTGGTTATATGTATAAAGGGACAGTTAGACAAGTCGATTAAAATTAGAGACAGATAAGAGATGGTTTCAAAAACCTGGCGTCCACAAAACAGGTGAGGATGTTTGAACAAGGCTTTTGTCATTTAGTCGATAATAAATGCGATGTTGCCAGGTCTGTTAATGAATTCTTTGACCATCACTTGTAGTGAACTTTTGTTTGGACATTTAGTCATGGTGGGGATGTTTATCATATATTTGCAGCCTACGAAATAGGTATGTGAATAAAGTTATAAATCACACTTTTCGCGAGATAAGCTAGTGTTAAAACCTGTAAGTTATCACATAGGGCGCTATGCTGAATACATCACGTATCAGTTTAGTAATAGCAGAAGTACGTCAGTTCGAAATTCAAGTTTTTTAACCTCAAATTGCATATTTGACCAGCCGTCAGTCTATTTACCATGGACTTGAGTTATCTACACAGTCTGGCCTTAAGACGATATGAGTATTTATTTCGTAACCACCAAAAACCGTGAAAAGAGCTGAGCTCCATTCTGCTTAGTAGAAATGTAGCGTTTTATAAATATTTCATGGCAGTTTGTCAACACCGCCTCAGTAGCCGATGTCATAGATAGCTGATTTATTTGTAAACCAGTAATATGTGGTCAGTACGCAATGATGTAACCAAAAATTTACGAGCAGCTTCCCTACGATAATGCAGATGACTCCGAAGGTCCATTAGGTCAGCTGGTGGATTATAAAGTCATTCCACGAAGTGTTTTCTCTTGATATAACTACACTTTGCTATAACGTTGTTCAACTTGTCAGCCTTCCAGTCTGCCGTTTTGAAAAATAGTGATTTTATATTTCAGGGTTGACCAAGTTCTGATAATGAGCTTCAAATTAAGGTCACTTGACCCCCATTCCATTATAAAAAAAAAATGTTACAAGACCGCACTCAGAAAGAATCTTGGAATTTTCAACTATTACCTTTACGTTTCCGTAATTTCAGCATGCCAACATAACCATTGAAAAAAAGAGGGGAGGAGCCTTTTAAAAAGCACTGTAAGCACGTATATAAGTGCGATGATCGTTAACTAAAAGTTTGATACTGTATTGTGTATGTATATACAGGGTGGCGCATCAAAAACGAAACAGACGCATTTACTGGCAGCTCAGTTTTTTTGGTAAAAACGCTCAGACCCGTCGATTTTGTTTTCGAGGGGGACACAAGTTTGGCAAAAAATCACGTTAACACAAGCCCCCTTGGCGGTGGTGACACCAACCCTAAAACCTTAAATGGAAAGAGGAGTCGAGTGATACCTTATTTTAAAGGTCTTTCAATTCCCTTTATGACGATGTAAAATACATGAGCTTCAGTTCAGTAGTTTTGAAGATTTATTGATTTAAAGCTTAAAGTACACTTTAATAGGTACATCAGACTAGTTTGTACTACTTTCAGAAACAAATTTACTAAAAGAATTTACTTAATAAGTAAATGCTTTTCTTCACTACGCCCATGGTTTGTTTATCATTTTGTTGTTGAAAATAGCTATTGGAGCGTTTTTTTTTTGTGGCAGAAAAGTTATTTCTTGAAGAAAGATAAGGAAATATCTCGTACTTATTTTAAATAGGAATTTAGTACATAGTTTGCGATTGATTTGACCAAACTTTGTTGCTAAAATAACTTGTAACGCTTTATTACATAAATTAACCATGGTATATTCCACAGCAGAAAGAGTTGAAATGATCGAAATATTTTTTGGAAATAATCAGTGCGCTAATAGAACAGCAAAAATATTTTATGAGGGACATGAGAACAGCAACGTGCATCGAAAATATATTCTAGAACTTGTAGCTAAATTTCGGGAAACTGGGTCAGTCGCCAATAAAAAACGCAACATTGAAAATCCCATAAGGAACGAAGCAATAGAAGTGAGGGTTTTAGGGAAAGTTTATCTAGATCCTACGTTAAGTAGCCGCAAATTGGCGACTGGCTGTGGTGTTAGTCGACGTACTGTCCAACGGATTCTAAAGGCCCATGGTTTTCAGCGATTACAATTTTGTGAAGATATGAGGAACTAATTATAAACGATGAACATTTTCTATTCAACACTTGCTATTCCGACGAATGTTCCTTTTTCTTAAATGGCGTAGTAAATCGTCATAACTGCCGATATTGGTCAGAATTTATCATGAGGTTCATACACAGCAGCTACAAAAAATAGATGTTTGGGCTATTATTTTTGGCGATCATTTAGTTGCTCTTTTTTCCTTACCTGGAAATTTGACCGGTGAAATGTATTTGGAGTTACTGTAAGACGCCATAGATCCTGCATTAACAGCCATAATTGAAAATCAGAATGATCGGCGGTACATTGCGAATAGGTTTATGTTCCAACAGGATATTTCCCCACCACATTACGCATTACGTGTTCGGCAATATTTAGATCAGACGTTTCCAGATCGATGGATTGGTAGAAGAGGTGCCATTGAATCGCCCCCAAGATCGCCAGATTTATCACCTTTGGATTTCTTGATGTGGGGTCATTTAAAAATCAAAATCTATGCTACTCAGCCAACATCATTAGAAGACCTGCGACAAAGTATTGTGAATGAGTACCTTCAAATTACTCCTCAAATATTGCAAAATATACGGCAACGTTTTGAGCAAAATCTTTATTATTGCATGGAGAGTCATGGTGGCCGTTTTCAACATTTACTTGCCTAACGGGTCAGTTCATTCTTCGTTTTTAAATTACTTTGCTGCCAAATGTATTGATCTCCACTAATGATGATGTATTAGTTTTATTTAAGCTTTAAATCAATAAATCTTCAAAACTACTGAACTGAAGTGTATTAATTTTATATCATTATAACGGGAATTCAAAGACCTTTAAAATAAGGTATCACTCGACCCCCCTTTCCATTTAAGATTTTGGGGGTGGTGTCACCCCCGCTCAGGGGGCTGCACGTGTAACGTGATTTTTTGCCAAACTTGTGTTCCCCTCGAAAACAAAATCGACGGGTCTGATCGTTTTTCAAAAAAAAACTGAGCTGCCAGTACATGCGTCTGTTTCGTTTTCGATGCGCCACCCTGTATAGGGAGTTATCAATAAGAACGAATTTTTTCATGGTACAATAGTTCTATTTATTCTGTTCCAGGTTAGGAAATTATAAAGCTGAACATTATTTCCATAATGTGCGACACAAAAAATGTATGAGCGTGTTAACGTATGACAATAGAGGACATAGTAAGTTTTCACCCTGAAACTGACCAACTATTCTTGTTTTACTTGCTCGCTGATTAAAAAAACATTTCTTGCATTGCTCTTTATCAGCTGTCCAATTTTGTAATTACCTTACCTGCACGCGATTTTAACTTCTTTTATTGATACTGATAACTTACCACCAAGTGACGAAATACTCCGCAATGCTATCACTTGATTGAGAGAGAACAAATCCAAGGATCAAAATAACGACATTCATCGTCCCTCCTCCAGCGTTCAAGAAGTCTCTGTATACACTCCATGGCACGTTTCCTGAAGCTTTGGCTTCTTTTTCTAAAACTTGAACTTCATGTTCTTCTTTTTCTTTCGGGACAGCAGACTTTCGTCTTACCTCGTCCTCATCTTCTATCTGACTCGCCTAATAATCCAGACATATTAGTGATTTCACCTCGAAATGAGAGATAATAAGATGTATACTCGTACTAGTAGAAAGCTGTATTTTGTCATTTTAAAAGTGGTCTAAAAAGCCTTACAAAATATCGTGTCAGCATCTTAAAGTATCCATGGTCAAATGTTACAAAAATTGTTTTTTGCAAAGATCTCGCTTCCTAAGGGTTTAATGCTATTTGCATTCATTATCCATATTACGTATATATATATACGTATCGGTCGGGTTACCTATCCCATTTTCTGCTCGAATCCACTTTCCTTCTCTTTGCGCATTTTGCCCATTATTTGTTATATACCTTTCTCCGCATGATCATTTTCTCTTTGTAGATCCTTTGGGCTTGAACAACCACAACAAGTGGCTACAACCGGCCGCGTGGTTGTGGTTAGATGTCGCCTTGAAAATTCGAGGTCTTCTAGCCATTTTATACTACAATGTGTAGGTTTGGCTATTGTTGTGGACTTCGTGTGTGATTTTTTTCCTCTCCTTCTTCGTTTCCTCAGATTACACCCGTATCCCCATGTATGGGCATGCGTATCCACTCTTGTAGTTACATATGTGCATTCATTTCGGGCCTGATGAAGCCAACCAGCAGAAATACGTATCGCTCGGGTTACCTATCCTATTTTCTGCTCGAATCCACTTTCGTTCTTTTTGTGGATTTTGCCCATTATTTTCCAATTTTTTGTTATATATATATATAATTATATATAAAACACAAGAGTAATTAGTTTAACAGTTGCGTACCATTATTATTTGGAAAAGATAATGCCACTAGTCCCCTGTATCTCCGCCACGGGTGCACGTTAATTTTAAGTAAAGACTTTTGATTGTGGACAATACCGACATACCAAACTTTAGTTCATTCTAGTTGACGGTTTTAAAGTTATTGAAAAATTCGTTTTTTATTTTTAAACTTTTTAATGCAGCTCTCGAGGAAAAAATGTTGCAAAATATGGTCCTGTGTATGATGTTTCATTTTTGTGAATCACCCTGTATATGAGTTTGTTGTTGGCACAATTCTTAGGTTCTGCGAATGTTTCTTCTATCTCTAATGTAATAAGGGTGGTGCATCGAAAACGAAACAGACGCATTTACTGGCAGCTCAGTTTTTTTCTTTCAAAAACGCTCAGATCCGCCGATTTTGTTTTCGAGGGGGACACAAGTTTGGCAAAAAATCACATTAGCTCGTGTAGCCCCCTAAGTAGGGGTGATACCACCCGCAAAATCTTAAATGGAAAGGGGGGTCGAGTGATACCTTACTTTAAAGGTCTTTCAATTCCCTTTATAATGATAAATAATATAAAATTAATGTACTTCAGTTCAGTAGTTTTGAAGATTTATTGATTTAAACCTTAAATAAAACTAATACATCATCATTAGTTGAGATGAATACATTTGGCAGCAAAGTAATTTAGAAATGAAGAATGAACTGACCCGTTAGGCAAGTAAATGTTGAAAATGACCACCATGACTCTCCATGCAATAATGAAGATTTTGCTCAAAACGTTGCCGCACATTTTGCAATATTTGAGGAGTAATTTAAAGGCACTCATTCACAATTCTTTGTCACAGGTCTTCTAATGATGTTGGCTGAGTAGCATAGATTTTGCTTTTTAAATGACCCCACATAAAGAAATCCAAAGGTGATAAATCTGGCGATCTTGGGGGCCATTCAATGGCACCTCTTCTACCAATCCATCGATCTGGAAATGCCTGATCTACATATTGTCGAACACGTAATGTGGTGGGGCACCATCCTGTTGGAATATCAACCTATTCGCAATGTACCGCCGATCATTCCGATTTTCAATTATGGCTGTTAATGCAGGATCTATGGCGTCTTCCAGTAATTCCAAATACATTTCACCGGTCAAATTTCCAGGTAAGAAAAAAGGACCAACTAAATGATCGCCAAAAATGCCAGCCCAAACATTTAATTTTTGTGGCTGCTGTGTATGAAACTCATGATAAATTCTGGCATTAGAATCGGACCAATATCGGCAGTCATGACGATTTACTACGAGAGTTAAGAAAAAGGAACATACTTCGGAAAAGCAAGTGTTGAATAGAAAATGTTCAGCGTTTATAATTCGTTCACTCATATCTTCACAAAATTGTAATCGCCGATGAAAATCATCTTCATTAAGTTCTTGTACCAGGTGAATTTTATACGGATGAAAACTATGGGCCTTTAGAGTCAGTTGGACAGCACGTCGACTAACAGCACACACAGTCTCCAGTCTGTGGGCACGTAACGTAGGATCTACATAAACTTGCCTTCAAGCCCCCACTTCTATTGCTTCGTTCCTTATGGGATTTTCAATCTTGCGTTTTTTATTGGCGACTGACTCAGTTTCCCGAAATTTAGCTACAAGTTCTAGAACATATTTTCGATGCACGTTACTGTTCTCATGTCGCTCATTAAATATTTCTGCTGTTCTATTAGCGCACTGATTATTTCCGAAAAATATTTCGATAATTTCAACTCTTTCTGCTGTGGAATATACCATGGTTAATTTATGTAATAAAGGTTACAAGTTATTTTAGCAACAAAGTTTGGTCAGATCAATCGCAAACTATGTACTAAATTCCTATTTAAAGTAAGTACGAGATATTTCCTTATCTTTCTTCAAGAAATAACTTTTTTGCCTCAAAAAAAAAACGCTCCAATAGCTATTTTCAACAACAAAATGATAAACAAACCATGGGCGTAGTGAAGAAAAGCATTTGCTTATTAAGTAAATTCTTTTAGTCAAATTTCTTCTGAAAGTAGTACAAAGTCTACTTTAAGCTTTAAATCAATAAATCTTCAAAACTACTGAACTGAAGCTCACATATTTTACATCATTATAAAGGGAATTGAAAGACCTTTAAAATAAGGTATCACTCGACCCCCCTTTCCATTTAAGATTTCAGGGTTGGTGTGACCCCCGCCCAGGGGGCTGCACGTGTTAACGTGATTTTTTGTCAAACTTGTGTCCCCCTCGAAAACAAAATCGACGGGTCTGAGCGTTTTTTCCAAAAAAAACTGAGCTGCCAGTAAATGCGTCTGTTTCATTTTCGATGCGCCACCCTGTATATGACAATATAATTAAGTTATGAAAAATATCGAATATAATGTAATGATTAATAATAAATGATAATTAGACACAACTATATAATATTTATTTATACGGCGTACTATTTATCGGGACGGTTAAACTTAGTTGTGTTAATCCACTATTTCCTATTCTTCTGAAATTCTTTTCTAGGGGCAAAACCAATAAAAATGAATGGAGTTCGGCTGGAATAGCTGATGCCATAGATGGTATAGAAAACGACAGCCAGTCGGAAAAGAAATAATCGTCTGCGATTTTTTTCGCTAAGGAATTGGAAGCTATGCCTGCTTTGAATATATTCTGAATGCTTGATCAACAATGAAATCTTAAATGATGAATGACTTTTTTTACCAGCGGTCTGGCTTCAGTATCTAATTTTCAAATCAGGGGCATGGAACCATTTAAGTATTATGTAAGCACTAAAGGGGAGCGGAGAGGTCTTCGCTTTGCTTATTTTTGATGACATGGGGGATCTAGATAGTGATTACGTCTGCAAAATTTATTTTTTTCACTTTGCATGCTTGTCTGCAATCGATAGAGAAAAACATCTTCAGAGAGCTCAAAATACGGATATGCTTACTCGCCTAGAACCTTAGCGATAAACGCTCCTGGTAGAAATGCGTATAACCGAGTAGAGCGCAGAATGGCTCCTTTTAGTCAAGATGTGGCTCATTTGCATGAACGTATCGTTATAGCTAATCAACATTTAGAAGGATCCAATTTCGAGTTCTTCGAAAATATATGGTATTAGCTCAGGTATGGAATTCAAATGGAAATTGATGATTACCATGTTACTGCAAAGTAACCAGACATTAAATGGTATTCAGAACATGTGCCTGAAAGTCAATATTTGCCCAAAATTTCAAACAGTACAAAGATGTTGACGTAAGCATGGAAGCGGGGGGTTAGAGATTTGCTTACTTTTGCTGAAATAGGTACGGGGCGGGGTTAATAATTATAAAGGACCTGCTTACGTAATACTTGAACTCGTATGTAAAGTTTTTGGTAATTACTCCTTTTACAGCAATGTTCAACTAGAGTTTATGATTGTGTAAAGTAAATTATGTTTAACGTTACAAAGTAAACGTTGTATGCTTCTAGCTGTGTCTTATTATCATATATATTTATATTCTTTTTATCAGGAACAAAATTTTGTTCCGGCTTTGGGCACGTTCCAGTTCCGATTCCTACTCCACCATTTTGGTGCCACTTACCAATCTTGTGAATATTGTTCCAGACGCCTTGATGTCAGAATAGCTTCCAGAAGCCTTGATCTTTCCATCTTCCAACATATAAATACTATTGGCTCTTTTTAGATACTGCAACTGATGTGTCACCAATATCACACATTTACTTCCCAAGTATCCACATATGCACTTCTCGAAGAGATGCTTACCTACATGAGTATCTACTGCAGATAACGGGTCGTCCAGCAAATAAATGTCAGCCTCCTATAATAAAAAACTCGCATCAGCTGGACTGACTCTATACTTCCCACGCCTAAAAAACAAATCCAAGTACTATTTTCCATATAGTGCAGCAACATCAAAAATACATAGATTTTGTCGGAGTCATTAGTGCACTATTTGGGCTTTTAATGAAAAAAAAACTTAGATTGCAGCAACGAGCGTGTCCGAATACGCTAGGCTCATCTCTTTGGATGAGTAAAACTATTTGTCAACGATGTTTGATAAGTGATTATAGTAGCCCTTGATGAGTACTCATATACTTTCTATAATAATAATAATAATAATATTTATTCACTCAATGTACAAAGATAACAAACAATATGAGTAAATAAATATAAAATCAAAACAATGACAAAAAAGGACAAAAATTAACTACAGTAGATTATGTATTTAGTTGATGTTCGTATTTATGAGTTTATGAATTTCAGTCCTAGATATAGAATGTAGCCACTTTTTTAAATTTCTTTTGAAACAATTTCCGAAACGTAAATCTTTTAAGTCTTTAGGTATAATTTCATACAATTTAGGCGCTAAATAGAGATATGATCGCTGCATTATAGATTTACATATGCGGTTGAGGAACTACTATGCCACGAATTTTGTACCTGGTATAATGATTATGTTTAATATTTTTGGTTGGTGTTTACAAATTTACGGTAGTGAGTGATACTGTGTAAGAAATAATGCTGTCTTATATCATACATTCGAACATCTGCGTATAATTTTTCAGTGGGATAAAGTTTCGGTTTTTTAAATATCATTTTTAGAATACTTTTTTGAAAAACATCTAAATTATAGATATGTGAGGAACATGCAGCTCCCCATGCTAATATACCATATGTGAGATGAGGCTCAATCAGTGCATGGTATAATGTTCGAAGATATTTTTCTGTCAATATATTCCCAAGGTATTTAATTTTGTAGGATACAAATCTAACTTTCTTTAAAATATAATTGACATGGATGTCCCATCGTAAGTGAGGATCCAAGACCACTCCAAGGTATTTTATGTTGGGCACTCCATTAATTTGCATTTTTTGATCATTAATATTGAAGGAGAAATTTGTGTAATTTGGCAGATGTCTAGCATAAGATCCAAATGGTAAAAAATGTGTTTTAGAGTAGTTAATGCTTAATTTTCTACTGTTAAACCACCGAATAATTTTGATAAAATCATTTTCAATTACATTTTTTAGATCAGACCAGTCAGTGCCTTCATATAATATTACAGTATCATCTGCAAAACTAGTTATTTTGCCAACACAATTAATTTGGAAAATATCATTTAAATATATATTGAATAACAGCGGACCTAAGACAGTTCCTTGTGGGACACTACACTTAATATACATTTCTTTACTAAATGATTCTGATATCTGCACAGATTGTGGGCGATTTGACAAATAACTTTCGATCAGTGAGTACGCGTTTCCTCTGAAACCAATTCTCTCCAATGCTTCTAATAATAATTTGTGATTAACTGTGTCGAAAGCTTTGTTTAAATCAACAAAAATGCAGATTGAAGGGATTCTGTTATCAATATTTTGATGTATTTGATTTACAATTTTAGTTATTGTGTCCGATGTAGCCTTCCCTTCTGAAAATGCATATTGATTTTCACTTAAAATTTTGAATTTTGTGAGGTATCGAATCATTCTAGTAGATAAAACTTTTTCAAAAACCTTTGCTACACTGGATATTATTGATATTGGTCTATAGTTGTTAACATCTGTTTTTGTTCCTGATTTATGTATCGGTATTATATTACCTTTTTTAAAATTGAGGGATATATGCCAGATTCAAAGCATTTGTTGATTAGGTAAGGGAGTGGTTCTATTATGTCCTCGGCTATAATTTTCAAATGTTCGCTTTTAATACCATCGAACCCAGGACTTTTCCGATTTTTTTAAGGAGATAACAGTGGTGTATACTTCACATTGCTCGACATTATCCAAAATAAATGAGTTCAGTGTTCTTTTTGGAGGCTGAGTATTTTGTACATTTGTATATTACTTGCTAAATTATCGCCTATGTCAGTAAAGAATTGTACAAATTCATCGCATATCTGTTGAGTATTTTTTAATACTGTTCCCGATGTTGTATTTAACTCAGTGACACACTCTTTAAATTTTGTTTTCCCAGTAATCTCATCAATAGTTATCCAAAGCCGCTTAGGATCATTTAAGTTATTATTCAATTTATTTAGGTAATATTTTCGTTTGGTTTGCCTTACAAGCTCTATAAATTTATTTTTATATTGGTTGTAGCAGTCGGTATTCTCTGTAGTTGGCGTTAGTTTCATTACATTAAGTCTTTCTTTTTCTATTGCCGATGTTATTAATCCTTTGGTAATCCAGGCATTTCTGCTTTTCTCTTTGTGACTAATTATTACTTTATTGGTACTAATATCTATTAGTTTTTTTATTTTCTCTATGAACAGTCCCGTTGCTTTGTCTATATTATTTATAGAGTATAATTGTTCCCAGGATTCTTGTTTGACATTTGATATTAGTTTTGAATTGTCGACAAAAAATTTGTAATTTTCCTGGTTGTTATTAACGGTAGGGATGTTAGAATGTTTTCATTTGAAGATATCAGTAAAATAGTGGAGAAGTGGTCAGTAATATCGCTCTCTAGGATTATTGGTATACAAGTAATTTTGTTGGATAGGTCTTTCACAAAGCAGTGATCTATACATGTGCCACTGATGGACCTTGTAGGTAGGTTTATATAGGACAGAAATCCGTTACTTGATAGGGTATTCAAGTATTCATTTGTGATGGGATCATCGTCCAAAATATTTATATTAACATCTCCCAAGAAAATATGTTGCTTTAAATGAACTTTATTTTGATTTTGAAAAAAAAATTCGATATTCTTTAAAAACTCGTGGGGTTCTGAACATGGCGGACGATAAATTGCAGATACCTCAATTTTGTTATGGTTAATTTGGATCATTATGTTTAAAATTTTGATTCCATCGGTGAAAGTGAATGTATCATGATTATATTCCAGTTTATTTCTTACAAAAACTGTCACCCCGTCGTTTTGGTTATAAGTGCCAAAGTTATACAGCGTGTCATATCCCTGCTGATTGAAGCAAGAAATATCAACCACTTGCCACGTTTCAGTTAAAACTATTAGATCAAAATTGTACCATATTTGGTCGAGTAGTATTTTTAAGTAATCAATGTTGTGTTTTACACTCGTTATGTTCATATTAAAAATTCGAAATTTTGCATCAGAATTTTGTGTACATAAATTAAGTTCATCGACGTTTTGTGCTATATTTGTTGCAATACTTGGAATTTGGAAATCATTAATGTATTTATTTACTGACATTTTTAGGTCCTCTTTAGAGATAGGAGTAGCAAAAGATGAACTTGAATTTTAAAAAAGTATCCTTAAGTTTTGGTGTTCCTGATAATATTTGTACGATGGACAGTTTTTGTCGGTAGGTGAGTGGTTAATATTATAATTTTTTGCCGTTGCCACAGTTGGCACATATCTTCTCATTCCTGCAATTCTTTTCTGTATGATTAAAACGGTAGCATTTTCTACACTGAGAAATGTCGTTATTTTGATATATTGTCAAACATTGCCATCCCAGAAGTATTCTTCTATTATTGTCTTGGAAGATTTTTTTGAATAGCTTTCCAGAAGTTTCCGCGTAGATAGTGTAATTGTTTCTTGATGAAAAATATTTTATAAACTTTACTTGTATGTCTCCACTCTGAATCATATAATTCTGATGTATAAGATCTTCTTCAATTTGCTTTTCATTCGGTTTCTCACTACTTTTATAATTTATTATTTTAATCTTTGGATTTAACATTTTCGGCTCAGTAACTTGGTATTTTTCATTTAATTTATTTTGAAGTTCATCTTTCAGTTTATTATGATTTGATTCATCAATTTTTATATCAATTCCGCCATTTTTTGAGTTTCTCACACTTTCTATTTGAATGTTCAGAGATGAAAGATTTATTCTCTTATTCAATTCTCTTCTCGTATTATCGCAAGATTGTTTTTCTTTTGGAATAACTGTGATACATTTCAGTGATTGCCTTTTAGTAATAGGTATCGTTTGTTTTAAGATTTGTGCGTATGAATTTTCTTTTACTAACTGGTTTTTCTCAACTTCGTCGAGTCTCATATTAATTCTATTTAATGCTGGTGCTAGGGCATCCTTCTCAGTAATACTTGCGGTTACTGACAGTTGCTGCCCTTTTAGTTTTAAATTTTCGTTATTGAGCTGACGAATTATTTCCTCCTTTTCTGCTAGTGTTTTCTTCAGGGGTCGATTCTCTTCTAATATCTTTTTTACATTAGTCGAATCAGGTCGATTTTCTTCATCTGTGATGCAGTTTTTTTCATTCTCGGGCTTTTCTTGTTGTTCTTCTTCTTCCTTCTTCTTTTTGCGGGTCATGACACTCTGTATAGTAATTTCTTATGTAGTATGAATCAGGAAGAACAAACTGTCAACTTGTCAATTTCACGTCACTCCGAGGTTATATAAATATGGCCGAAAACGACAGAAAATTGTAAAATCCGCTGCACCAATGTATCCAGACCCGTTCTTTATCCTTATAAATGGACGAGATCGTTTGCTTGTTTACTACTACTACTACTATATAATATATATACTATACTATACTAGATAATATTACCTCAGGAAATCAAGTAACGTAAGGTACGCGATCCCTGCCGAAAATAGCTTTAAAGGCAAATGTACGTGAAAATCTATGATGTGTAAAATGTGTCAAATAGGTGCGTAGAATTACCGCGGTTGGAAGTGAATAAATATACTAACATCACAAACTGCGGTACATACTTCCCCCATCAGCCTACAACCCCCCCAGCTCCAATTTTGTACACCTAAATGATATTCAAAAATGATCAGGTTCCACTGAAACATCAAAAAGTTTAAGTTGAATTTATTATTTTATGTTTTGGCATTTTCCTCTGCTGCCACTGAACCGATTTGCAAAATCTTTCGTCCTTGATATATCAGTAACCGTGTGCGAAAATTTAATTCAAATTCGAGCAGTACTTTCCAAGTTATAGTCAAACCAAGGAATTGCGGGCACACCATCAGATAGGCAGACAAACTGACAAACAACTGACAGAAATGAGTAACATGACTTATTGGGACATACGTGTCATATAAAACGCCAAAAACGTATCTCATTTTCGAAATTTTTTACGATTGCAATAGTTCGCCAGTAAGCGGGCGAAGTGGAAAATATTTTTTCGGTATGTAACTCGAAAATAATGATGTTGTGCTGCAAGGCGAATGTCGCACGATTAGCTGTCATCCGTACCATATACAGGGTGTTTCCTGATTTAATATAAATATTTAAGAGGCGTATTTGGGGTCCATTTTAAAAATAAAACTCCAGACAAGCGTATGTCCTGATCTAAAAGTCTTAACTTTTGAGATAAGACTGGTAATGTTTTTAAAAATAAATCAGTGGCACGATGACTTCCTTAAAATAAAAATGAAATCTGTACTCATTTGATCTTTCGAATTTTTTCAGTGCCTTGTACGGTTTAAAAGAATAAAATATATGTCTCATGTTGATATCATTATATCAACGATATCTGATCATGCAGGGAAACGGTTTGTATTTTTATCAAGCAAAAACCATGCATCGTATTGAAAAATTCATGTGTTCAAATTTGCATGGAGATTTCGAGAAATGTTTTTATTTCAAGAATAGTATGGTCAGTGGCGTATCATCAACACCCGACAAAATAGGCAAGTAAAATTCCGTACGAATGCCAGTGGTGGAAGTTACAGATAAATACTGTGCATTGAGAAATGCTTCTTTATACACAGTACATGTCTGACAAATTTCATCGAAACATCTGAAGCAATTATTACAGACATTAATCATATGAAGTTATCTTCTAGATATGGATCCAAAAATCACCTTTGTTATTAAGATTCAAATTATGTATACATAAATTCATAGATAATTACTAACGTCACATTACATGATAATTACTGACAAATCTCAGTAAATATTTATCATATGAACTTCGCGTAAGCTATATCACGAACTAGTAAAGCAGCACGGGGGTGCAAAATAGTACATTACATACCTTGGTTGAGAAGTATGCAATTATTAACCAAAGCGTAGCATTTCTGGATATAAAACTGCTTAATCTCTAACGCCAAACGTCTCAGCCAAGGTATGCATTGTACTGTTAAGCTATAAAAGTTTGCATCTGAAGTGACTATAACTTTACCTTGTAGACAGCTCGTGCCAAATTGACCCTCGCTCTCTGTCCGCCACTCAAACTAACTCCTCTCTCACCAATAAGAGTATGATCACCATGCGCAAGGAGCTCAAAGTCCCTTTCTAAAGCACATACACGAACTACCTCGTCGTACTTGGATTTGATATATTTTTGACCAAATAGGATGTTCTGCCGTATACTAGCTAAGACAGAAGTTTTCTTATATTAGTATTATTGATGCTGGTTAAATCTATAGTGATATTTGGTGGTAATAAAAAAAGTCAGTTCTAATACTATTGCCGCATTACTAAAAAGTCAATGTCTCAAAGAGAGGCAAAAACGATATTATATTCTTCGTATTTGTGGGAAATTAATTATTGTTGATACTTGGACATGGGCGCCTGAGGGGTAGGGCGTCCTGGGAATGTGTTTTGACCTTTAAATTTGAATATGTAGCATGATGTTGTGTACAATTTTGAGAATTTTTAGGATTTAGCCCTCCTGGGAAAATTTGCTACCCCCAGCTTTTCAAAAGGTTTTGGAAGCAGGTTGTGCCTTGCCGATCATCGACCCACCTAAGGAAAACTCCTGCAAGCACCCATGATGTTGCTTAGGTGCTAGGGAATGTTTTCTTTCGTCACTAGTACAGGGTGTTGCAGCATAACTTCCTTTTTCAAAATGTGCGTAATTCAGTCGGTTCAGTCGTAGCAAAGCGTTGAGACCTACTTTTGGAGCGGATGCTCTGTGATCGCTTTGGAAATCTCTTTAATTTAGCCCCGTTGGCCCCTGTCCCACACTGAAAATCAATTGTTACGCGGGTCGCTATGTTCAGACAAACAGCAATTGTGCGACACTTGGCCCATTAGATCTCTTGAAAACATTGAGGCAGTGAGAGCTTCAATGTTGAGATCACCACGGCATTCGGCGCGCACCTTTAGACTTTCCAATCGTTCTACAGGGCTGACACCAGTTCTCAGGAATTGCATCAAAGGTCTTTGCCTTCACCTTAAGTCACAGTGTGGTGTGCAATTTCCTCAGCTGGAATTATTGATGCCTGGTTCTTTGAGGAAAAGGAAGTCGCAGCGACAATTCATTTGAACCACTATGTAAACATGTTACAGGATTATTTTTCACGGCTAGATGAATTGGACTTAGGGGAGATTTGGTTCCAACAAAAGGGAACCCTCCCCATCTCAATTACGTGCGATTTGGCGGGGCCGGCCCACTCTCCCGGGTTGTCCTCTTGTGATTTTTTTCTGTGGCGGTTTCTTCCAAATTCCGTGTATATGTGAACCGTTTGAGGACCGACATCCAGGAATAAATTGCTAACATAACGCCTGCTATGCTGCCAAGCGACGTAACAAATGACATAAATCGGTTTACCCAGTGTATGGAGAATGAGGGACGTCACATATCTGATATGATCTACAAAACTGTCTAAAATAAAAGTTTAGGCATGCGCCCAAATTATAAAAAGCAAATATAAATGTTATGATTTTAAAATATGTTTTACTAAGGCCCGTATCGTCAGTCGTCCCTACAATTGTAGGGCGCGTTTATGGCCTCCTTGATTGTCATACTCCTTTCTCTCCTTCAAAAATTTCTTGATTGCACTTGTCCCGTGTCAGCGTCAGCGCTCTCCTATTGTGAAGATATGTTTTCCTTTTAAATTGTAGGAAATTTCAGGCTGATAAAACATGATATAACTCAAAAGCAAGCACAACTTGATGCAAATAGATGTTTGTGACAACCTCAAAATAGAGTTCTGACACGGAGAAGTAGAAAACTATGACAATCAAGGAGGCCATAAATGCGCCCTATTATTGTAGGGACGACTGACGATACGGGCCTAAGTCATTGTATATTATTATTAAATCTGTTTTACTAAGTTTTGAAAAAGGAAGTTATGCTGCCGCACCCTGTATTAACGAGATCATATCTACTACTAACCGCCAAACAACCATGGTTCTTGTGACGCATAGGAGACTGTTCCTAGTATCCTAGCTGTACCTTCAACAGGATATAGTTCTTTTAGGAAGACATGGAGCAACGTGGTTTTTCCACTGCCTACCTGAAATGCAAATATATTATGTTATGTATTATGTTGCCATTATTACATTTTTCCGCACTTCCTTAGGTTTGTTGCTAAAGAAAAGAAGAGAGGGCACGTGCTACGTTGTTACGTGCATGTAGGGTTAATTACCCACCGCAAGACAACCCTGGGATGTCTCCTCCAGCCGCAGCAGACCAGCTACAGGGTAATAAGTTATATTATAGCAAGTCTCTTTTCTGCAATCAGAATCTACCATTTAATAATGATAATTAACATCTTCAATTCCACATAGATTAATAAGCAAAGCTGCCGCATTTGGGAGACGGAAAATCCACATGAGATCCACGAGATGCCGTTGCATGACCGGAAAGTGACTGTTTGGGCCGGCGCCGGCGTTTGCGCCAAAACCATCATTGAGCCATTTTTCTTCAACGAAAAAAAAACTATGGGGTTTGGGTAATTACTGACGTATAAGGTTTTCTGTCTAGAAAAACCCCCCACTTCGGCAACCCCTCAGTCCGCCATTTTGAAATTTGGAGTGCTGAATTTTGTATCAACAAAAAACTTACATACCTCAGCTTTTATCTTGTTTGTTGCTTTTTCGAATTTTAAACGGCTTAGTTCCCTAAAATATCGCATCGTCCTTGAAAACAAATAAATTGTTGATTAGTTACAAACTGTCAAAATTAGATTTGTGAGCAATATAATAAAAACGTGTTTGAAGATGAATGTTTCTAAAGAAGAAATGACGAATATGGTGTTCGTCTTGGGCGAAGCCCAAAGAAATAGTTTCGTAGCATCTCGCACTTACAAGCAACGGTACCCTAATATGCGACATCCAAGGCCGGAAACATTTTCCACACTACAAGAACGTTTTGAGTCAAGTGGAGCAGTGGAATATCTGGTTTGTTCGTACAGCCTGTTTGCTGACAATCAGCAAACTGATAGTCGGTGACAAGTCATGAACTAGTTTATTCAGTTATCTGCCACTGACATATCACTGACTGTATAGATTGCGTACATGAGAACGTTTACAAGTTGACTGAGGAGGCTTTGACCGATTACCGACAACTGATCCACTGTTCGTACTGAAACTTCTGACTGTTTAATGACTGTCAAATTAGTCAGCAGATTATTGTCCAGTAAATTGTCAGAGCTCGAAGTCAAGCACAATCATTATTCGAATGTAACATTTTTCAGCATGAGATAGACAATTTTGGAAAAGGTAATTTCATTTTCTGTAAACCAGAATGATCTAGGATTGCCCGGAAGTGCCTGAACTTTCCTCTAGAAGGAATAACACTTCCTAAATGAACACCAACACCAAAAAATGTCAAGTCGATTTACTCAGTAATTCCCATTCAATTCTCATTTAAAAGGTAAGACCTCTGAATAAACTTCTGCGATGATTATGCGTGAAAATTGCACAAGGTATTGCAAATGTGTTTTTATAAAACTAGGGTAGTAGGGTTTTTGTTCCATAATCCCTAACAGTTGTCGCCCAGCCTTGAAGTGTACGCACGAACATTATGGATATTCTAGCTCCAGTCGAAGCAAAGGCTGATCGAAAAGGAAACAAAATAGCTAATTTTGAAGATTTTGTGATGCGGCTATTTTCAAGGGGACCGGAATGGTCGACTGTCTTTGGAAATGGCGGACTACCAGGATGTCATACTTGAGCATTTTCGTATATTGTACTACAAATATCCCAGCGTGGACAAGAAGAAATGGGACTACGAAAATACAAAAACTCATCAGAGAAAAATCATAAGTCAAGTCGCGTGTTTAGCCTTGAGACACACTACAAGCAGAAATATGGATAAATATAAATATCTGAGATGGCAAAGTTGATCAACACGACAACGCATATTTCCGCATTTTGTAACTGTAACCAAAATTTCGTAAAAATTAGTGTTCACTAAAAACTAGTAATAATTATTATGGATCTTGAAAGTTTTGTCCTCTAATCTAGGGATTGCCTGTACACAATAAATAAATATTGAGCACGAATCACTTGGATAGCTTGAACTGATTTGAGATTGCACCAAATATGAATACATACATCTTGAAACCCGTATTGAAAACAGATAATTTTATATTAGACCTTATAGTCATATAAAAAACTTGAAGTGGTGGGTCAACTTATAGTCGAATATATGTGTAATTGACTTCACAGCGCAACAATACAGTTCCTCTTTTGACTGCCACCACTATTATCTGCCACATCACTTAGCTCTGATGGAGGATTTTGGAGGTGATTATTATCATCATCTTCAGTGTGCTCCGCTGCAAAGTTATCACGATCGTATGAAATGCACTATATATCTGATGATTCTTAACGTGGTTTTAACAGTTATTTTAAGCTAATTCTGGGTAAGCTGTATATATTCAGAAATTAGTAACTTTACTTGGTGAATTCCCATAATTAGACCAACCTGTATAGAGTAGCATCCTTTTCTATTAATATATTATTACCTTATCCTCTGTTTTTTTTGTTCGATCTTTATATGGGCTCCGTTAATAATGCCAACGATTCCAGGAAAACTATATTTTATTGGAGAAATACCGCTTTGTCCTATATATTTCTTCTTCTATTGACCATTTTATGATTTCTGGTTCCAGACTACTAAAAAAGTTGGTCGGTCTGTATATAACTGCTTGTGGGGTACTGACGAAAACATTCAACCTATCATCGACATCCCTGAAGATACTATAGCTGTTTGACATCCAGCAAACCATAAAAATGTACAGGTTTCTTTATACGGAGTTAGCTTTCCATATGGCGCTGCCTGATATTTAAAATGGTTACCACGACTGGATTTCATTGAAATTTTTTCTGCGACTGTATTGCTCACTCGAAAATGTTACAAAAACTCGTTACTGTTAAAATTATGGCAATAATTCCTCCACAAAATTAAGGTTTTTGGGTTTCATTCTCGGAGCATTCGCTGCTTGGTTTATCGCTCATAGTTTTGTTCACTCCGAAGCTGCCGCGCATGGCAGTGAGGCTGCTATGAGGAGCTTAAAGTAACTTTGTTAATCCGATGTTTAAGCTGCCTAAGGTTAATAAAACTGGGAAAATCCGTAGCATCCTCCTCACAATTTCGATACACTATCAGTCGGGCGGGTGTATCTGGCAGACACATCGCGCGGCGGCATCATCGAGGAGAGCTCCGAGTAGCAAATCTTAGCGGTAGAAGAGTGCTAGGTCGCCGACGGCCCACCGGTGCGAAAGTGTCCCCTGCCATTTGCGACCCAATATCAGTCCTCAAGATAGTTTCGATACACTCTGATACCTATCACTGTCGCTGATTGACCCGCATTCTCTGACCTGTCAGAAGGTTCTATACGAACAGCGGACTAGCTGTCAGCAAACAATCAGAAACTGTACGAACAGGTAACATCTCTCTGATTCTGACTTTGACAGTCACCGACAAGTTTACAGCTACTGTACGAACAAACCAATAGTAAAAAATGTATAAATAATCCAAGTGTCACCAATGAGGCGAATCAGTTGGAGGTTCTATTAAAGTTGCAGAAAAATCCCTCGAGCAGAAACTGATGATAGCATGCACTATTACGCGACGGAAAACCCTTACTGGGTTAGGCAAATATATTTCCAAAATAAATGGAGCTTGAATGTTTGGGCAGGAGTTAGTGTCAGACCAGTTATCCGGCCTTCCTGTTTCGACAACAGATTAATAGGTACAGAATTTTTTTATCGAGCATTTGCCTTTGTTTTGGAGGATGTCAACCTGCAAACCCGGATGTATATATACTTCCAACATGACGGAGCACCTGCGCATTATCATAATCGTGTGCGTAACTATTTGCACACCTGGAGTAACAATCTCTGGATCGGTCGTGATGGGCCTATATCTTGGCCTCCTTGATCACCAGATATAACACCGATGAACGTTCTATGGAGCTACGTTAAGCAAGAGGTTCATAGATATCCACCATCTACCTCGGAAAATATGAAGGAAATGATTAAGGATGCTTCCCTGAACATAACACCTGCTGAGGGATGTGCAACGGTCATTTATCCAAAGACTACGGCTGTGTATTCAACATGGTGGAGATATTTTCGAGCAGTTTTTGTCTTTAGGTCTTGAGTAGTGATAGTTTGTTTGTTTATGTTGTTGTTATAGTTGTTTTTCTCTATTACATTTGAAGCTGGTTTATACTGTTCTGATTGTTATTAGTTTTTACGTCAAATCTGTACGCTTAGTGGCAATTTGAAACTAGCCCACTGTTTGCCTTTTGCTTCCATGGATGATGTGATTTTTTTCCTTAATTTTGGTGTGTTGCTCTATTAAAAGCTTAATAACTCAGAATCTTGTGATTTCATCTGAATCAAACCAAGAAAAAGATTATAAAAAATTGAATCCAAACTTGCACAAATGTACAAGGTGATGCATTTGAAATTTTTGAAAAAAAGTACAATTCGTGTTTTTGACCACCCTGTATGAGCAAAAATGAAAATTTGCAGAAGTAACAAATAAGATAAAAGCTGAGGTGTGAAAGTTATTTTTGATACAAAATTCAGCACTCCGAATTTCAAAATGACGGATTGAGGGGTTGCCGAAGTGGACGGTTTTTTCTGGACAGAACACCTTACATCTCAGTAGCTAATTACCAAAACCCCATAATATGTTATATCAATCTTCTTCTTTTGAAATGTTTTATCTAAATATGTAATATAATTTGAGGCATTCTATTTAAAAAATCACAACTTTGATATGAAGGTCAAAATTTGGACACCTTGTATAATTTCCAATATTTCTGAAATGTGGCCTCAAATGTCATGTATAACATGCCATAAATATATTTTCTCAAAATGTATTTGTTTATGAGTAATATTCCGTCTACACATGGATGGGGCACCCTGTATCTGGATGCTATACCTACCGAACCAACAATCACCGTCAACCTCCTTGAACCAGCTTCCATCGTTATATTCTCTAAGATATAATCAGTCGCGTCTTTTCTCCACTTTATTGATGCATTTTTCAAATTGATTCCAATGTGTGACTTCTCGTCATCTGATAGTCTTTGATCTTCGCGAAATCTGGGCTCAATTTCCTCGTAGAGCAAGAACTTCTCAATTCTTTTTACTGATACGTACACCTCACATGATGATGTAATGGCTTGTGGAAAGAACATCGTCACAGAATTGAGAAGCCTATATGAAAAACACAAAAAATATCTAATGAAAATGCAAGGTATAGATGGTTGAAACATCGTGCTCAGACTTAAAGAAGAGACATCCGAAGATTCGAACAACGATCGTTAGATATTGTAGAATATATCGTCGCCTTAGTAAGAAAACCGCGTAACTCCACATTTGGAGCATATTGACCTTTTAGCGCCATCTTATAAAAAAACATGAAACCTAACTAGTGTGAAATCCACGTAACTGCCACAACAATATTTCCCGAGTCAAAACTACATCAAGAAAATGACGTATGTCCATGTGTTAAATTTTGGTTAAGAAATCCGCGTAACTCCCAGTTTTCGCATAGTTCTAGCGTGTATGCAGGTGCTTGCAAGTTTGGTGAAAGTTTAGTGAAAAAAAACAAATACGTTTTGAAGTAAAAAAACTAATTTAATATAAAGGTAAGGTTGTTATGGTACTTTTAAGAGTTTGATTGGTTTAAAAAATGTATTATGTTTGTTTCAATTATAACTTTTTTACCGGCTATGGCAATACGCGCTTTTCCAACTTTAATTAAATGTGTTTATTATGTACTTACGCGTTTTTCCGTTCTTTTTTCGTACCTATAAGTTCTTAGTCCTAGTTATTTTTTAATTTAAAGTCTGATGAGTAAATATGTCTCAGAACAAAAACAATACCTAGTTAAATTAGTTACTTTTAATTTTAGGATGTCGTCTCGCACAAAACTTATAATGAAGTTGAGTAACCAACAAGCAAGCCATTCTTGTGTGGATATTGTTGAATACGAGGTTGAAAAAGATGGAATTTTGTCTCCTATTCACGCACAACCATCTAGTAAAATAAATGAAACTCTTGTAAATAGTAATGAGGTTCCAGCACCGAAGATTTCAACCAGTTTTGATCATATAGAATTTCCGGTAGACTTAAACGATTCTGCTAGCATAAACAATGATAACTCGACCAGTTTTAATCATTTAGAAGTGCCGACAGGCTTAAACGATGCTAGTATTTCGATCGATTTCGACCATTTTGACTCGCAGACAGATTTAAATGATGCCATTAGCATGAACAATGAACTGGACAATCCAGAGATTCTAGGAACGGAGCAAGACGAATATAACACCAATAATACTATCACGAATACTTCTTCTGAACACGACGACGGCGCCGCCGATGACTTGGATGTTTCTTACGTTCCTGAGGAAAACGATTCTGATAGTAGTAACTCTGCCAATGAAGATAATTCTAATTACCACGAAGAAAGAAACGATCCCGATACCAGCCTACCTACTAAAAGAACTCGAAGGAAGAGAAAATTGTCTGAATCATGGAACTACAATATCAATAAATATAAACGTTTAAGAGGTCAGCCTTACCAAGGCAAAAAAGAAATTACCGGTACATGGAATTACAACATTAACAAACCAGGTATGTACAGTGTTATGCAACAAAAAACATAAAAAAATAAAGTTTTTTCTTTTGTTTTAGGGAAGTTCTTGGAAAATCCATGCAACTGTTCTCTTAGTAGAAAAAAATCTGCAATTCAGTGTCAAAAAATGACGGAAGAAAACCGTTTAAAAATTTTCCAAAAATTTTGGAATACAATGACTTGGAATGAAAGAAAATTGCAGGTACAGGCTCTAGTGAATTGCGACAATGTTAAAAGAAGGAGAGGAGAACTTGAAGTGTCTAAAAGAAAGTATTCTATGAAATATTTTTTACAAGTGGATTTGGAAAAAATTAGAGTGTGTAAGCGGATGTTTGGTAGTACACTAGGTTTAAAAGAAACACTGATATTGTCTTGGATAAAAGAATTTAATAGCGAGCCTGATGACCACCAGAGAAGCAGAAAAAGTGAAACAAGAAGGGCGAAATTTGCGGAAAAAAATACGGCTGTGTATCAGTTTTTACAATCATTACCAAAAATGGAAAGCCATTATTGTAGATCTTCCTCGAAAAAATTATATCTTGAGCCACTTTGGCGTTCAAATGCAGCACTCTATAATTTTTTCAAAAGAGAATATTGCGGCGAACGTAATCTAGAGCCTCCATCCATAGCAACGTTCATGAAGATATTTGAAGAGCTGAACTTGTCACTCTACATACCCAAAAAAGATCTGTGCGACGTGTGCGAGGCATACAAAACAAAGAACTTATCTGAAGATAAGTATAACCTACACCAAACTTTAAAGCTAGAAGCACGCCAAGAAAAGGAAAAAGACAAATCTACCAGCGATGCTACAGTAAACGTGTATGCAATGGATTTACAAAGCGTGTTGTTAGCTCCCAAATCGACAGTCGCTGCAATGTACTACAAAACCAAACTAGTAGTACACAACTTCACTATTTATAACCTGAAATCCAAAGAAGGATTTTGTTTCCTGTGGAATGAAAGCGAAGGGGCCTTGACTGCAAATGAATTTTCCAGCATAATTTCTGTTTTTGTTGAACAAGAGATAAGAAAGAATGAAGGTTTACGTGAAATGATTTTTTTTAGTGATGGTTGCACGGGTCAAAACCGCAACTCAACATTGGCTAACGCATTTGTAAACTTAGCTGCACAGCATAAAATCGTGTTGACTCAAAAGTATTTATTCAAAGGTCATACTCAGATGGAGGTGGACTCGATGCATGCAACCATTGAAAGACAGATTAGAAATCAGAAAATAAACCTTCCCGCCGATTATGCTTACTACTGCCAGAAGGCAAGATCAAGTCCATCTCCATATAATGTCAAATATCTCACTCATTCATTCTTTAAGAAAATGGACACTATAAAATTTTTAACTTCTATACGTCCAGGTAGGGTCGCTGGTGACCCCGTTGTCACTGACATAAAGGCTCTAAGGTACTTACCAAACAGTGAAATCCAATTCAAGATGAGGCATACAGATGCTTGGTGTACATTAAACCAAAGAATAAATAAAAAAATGGCTCCGTGCAAGTTTGACGATTTGCCATCTTTATACACAGAACGCAGAAAAATTAAAAAGGAGAAATATGAGCACCTCCAAATTCTGAAATCAGGACTTCTACAAGATTATCATCAATTTTATGAAGAACTTCCGTATGAATAGGTTTTTTTGTAAAGTTACTTTTTCGTTTAATCGTTATGATTTTTTTATAAGATTACTTTTTCGTTTATGAATTTCTTCACTGGATTCAAAATACGTATTCTGTTTAATATAAAATAAGTTTTGTGTAGTTACCTAGTATTTATTTTCTTTTGTGAAAACCACGTATCTCCAATTATTTTACAATTTTTCATAAGAAAGTAGCGTAACTCCTTTTTAAATCATTACAATCACATAATTTCTATATTTTTACCCGAAATGTTAAATCTAATGTATTTTTCTATATTCATGCAAAATTCAAAAATATTTTATCACTGTTGTAACTCTCACAAAACGTTTTTTCATTCTCCTGTAAAATTTACTAAAATGGAGTTACGCGGTTTTCTTACTAAGGCGACGATATGGGGATGCATTTGGTGATCTTTAGTGGAAGTCTTAATTAAGACCTACAGTTGCCGAGATTAAAAAATGTCTGGGTTATGCTGGATTTCCTTAAATAGCTCATAAAATACAAAATAAACGTGGTTGTGCTCTGTAATGCATGTTTAATCAGAGCAAATAGCTGGTTCGGAGGCCATGAACTTCAAATCAACTTGCATAACAGATATTCCTAAGCCTACCTATTTATTGCTTTGTAGTTACCACTTGCATTATTCTCATCAAGAGAAGGTAGTTATTTCGAAAATAATTTGCAACTGATTGGTGAAATTAAACAGAAATGTGAGAAACCTAAAAAAAATCATATACCTAGCCAATTGATTTCTCTTATTTTGACCGCATCACAAATTATTTCATTGGAATGATAATAAACCACAGAACCTTGACGAAGAAAGCCAAATTGTAAAAAAGTATAGTTTTTTGTAGATGCGTTTTGTCATTTTTTGTATAAAATAATCATTTACTCTGGTTAGGCACGCATTATATAACCAACCACGTTTATTTTATATTATTATCTCCACAGACAAAAAAGTTCATACCGATGATTTTGTTGAAATGTGACTTTTTTGCAGTAGTAAGGGAGTTAATTTAGCCATAACTATTTTTAATTGTATATTATAATTTAAGGGACAAAAATATAGTATTTTCGACTGTTAAAATTTTGGAACGTCGCTATTGAACTTGAAAATTTTAAAAAAGTTATAGTTGATTTGCCCCCTACTACGACAAAAATAATAATAATAATTGAGATATTTAAAAAATGCATTTTTGATGTATCTCGATCAAGTTTCGATTATATGACTTTTCATTGGGATGTTATCAATCAAATTTTCGTATCCATTTTCAGATAAATCTAACAAACCCAATTCGCAATTAACTGTTACACTTCAAGGCTAGTTATATATGGTCTTGTAAATACCTATATACTCAAATGGCACAATAATGTTTATCAGATAAATTGAGCTATGTAAGTATCGAAAAACTTCCATTTTCCAGAAAAAAAACCCAATTATTATAGTTACACTCATAGGCAAAATGGATGCCGGCAAAGGGGTCGGCTCAAGTCAAGATTATGGCATTGGTCGCTCGGAGTCACACGCACATGCACCGTAATGGAAAATATTTAATGAATATTTTCTAAATTATGGACATTTATTATCTTCCATTGATTGAAAGGTAAATATTTAATGAATATTATATAAGAAATATTATACTTAAAATATTTAAAAGATATTGAATAAATATTTAATGAAAAAATCATATTCCAAATATTTATTAAATATTTGTTTAAGATAACAAATATTTAAGTAAGATAAAAATATTCATAAATATTGAATGAATATTAAATCAATATTTCGTGCTATCGGGGATGCTTATGCGCAATTTCAAAGAAATCAGTATAAAGCCGGAGAAAATTATATATCGGTAACTGTAGCCCTTAGAGCATTGCAGTTTTAGCAAAGATCAAGTCATCACTTTCGGGTTGCTGTAAAAATATGAAGACTCTATAGAGTCAATTGACTCACCTGAAAAATGTAGTCATGGTGTATACGTAGGAAGAAGTGAGTACGCTCCCTGTTAAAACATACACAAGAATGCAAAGGTAGATAGCCGTTCTGTTGAGGATAAGTCCACATGACATGCTGATGGCTCGAATATACGAAGCTGACTTTATGCACGTCATTTCATTCCTAAAATAATTGAGTACCTCTTAACATGCTACTTTCGTCCATCGGATCAAAGACACTCAACCATGGATAGCTGTTTCGTGTTTTTTGGCAACTCATCAACATGATCTAGACTTGGTCTTTTGTCCCTGGGACAATGAACGAAAGCATAGCAACTATCTTTTATCCAAGGTATGAGGTCTATCGAAACAAGGCAGCACAAAGCGCGATCTACGAGTATTACCATAATCGACTACTGCGAGTGTGCAGCAGCATTCAGTTGGAACTGTAAAGATCTCAGTTCGCATTTGATAGCCCAGTCGCCGTTGTGACTGTTAGAAGCTGACGATTCTGGCGGTATAGTAGGTATGGTCTACTCGCCATTGAACAAACTAGACATACTGCTTTCGTTCATCTGACCATAGACAGCCAACCGTGGACAACTGTTTCGTGCTTTTTGGCGACTCATCAGTATGGCCTAGGCTTGATCGCAGGTAGATAACGAACGAAAGCATAGCAAGCATCTTCTATTCAAGGTACCAGTACCAGGATCGACCGATAGCTGCTATTCACTCTCGCAGTAATCAATTCTGGTAGTCACGCTGCCTCTATTATTCATAGTATATCAAAGCAGGACAATTGGCTCTTGGATAAAATCACTTGGGACAATAGGTCAGACCTGGTTGTCCAGAAATCTGACGGTCAAGGAAAAAGAAAAGAGGAAAAAATGGATATAAATGAAGAGCTTTCTCAGTAATAGGATGTTTCCACTAGTAGCCACTAATAAAAGGTCGAGGCTCGTTATCTGTCTTCTAGCTCATCATATTATTATACAGAGTTATTTCAAAGTGCGGCAATGGTAAAATATTTAAAAATGTCCAAGGGGCACGGTAAAAGTAAAATTGTAGGGGATCAAGGTCAAGGCCTTTTTGTCGTCATCATCGTTTCCGGAATGTTTTTGAGGATAAAGCATGAAAGAGGCAGTGATGCATCCCTAGCTTTTTAATATGGTCCTATAAAATGACCTTTAGCACGATCTTGATGGTTAAATCAAGCTCAAGACCTTATTTTTAATTCCGTAAGCATAGAATGGTAAATTTTACTTTTTGACATGTCCTTCGCTCTGAACTTTCAAGGTCAAGATAGTTTTCACTCAAGGTAATGCCAAAACGTAAAAGTTTCTTGTACTTGATCACTCTCACCACTGTTTATGCGGGAAACTTTCTAGAACCGTACTAGTTTAATTTTACCAATTCCCAAATATCTTACCATTCCTACAGTTTTGGGTCACCATGTATGTATAGTACTTACTCTCTATATATTTCCAAAAGTAATCTCTCCATTTTATTTCATTGTCATAAAAGTTATCATAGGTACATACCTCCTCACTAATTCAACAGCTTTAGCAAACGCCTCCTCCCAAGTGTACATTTTTATCACTTGTATTCCAGAAATGACTTCATTCATCAACCTCACTCTCTGATCCGTGCGTAAAGCTGTACGAAGTCTAAATTTGGATATCAGCTTACCCATATACGCTAAAAACAATAATCTGATGGTTGTTTAAGACTCACTACGATATTCAAATCAATATTTCACGAGCTTCTTAACCCCACATAAACTATTCCCACCAGTTACCAATGGTCAGCAAGTGATACCGAGAAGTACCTTTTCAGGATCGCATTGTATGGATGGATGCGAATTCTTTAAAATGAGTATTCTGGTTTTGTGGCGTCCATCTGATATACTCGTTGGTTTCAATCAACGAATACGGGCTAGATAAAAGGAGCAAAGAAACGATGTGTTTTTAACAAAAACTTTGTAGTCAGTAGTTTGAATGGAAATTTATGCTATAAGTCGGTCAGTTGTTGATATTTCACATCAAATTTGTACGTTTCTGCGAAAACATATGAAATTGCGTAAGTTCCATCTAATCCTAGTGTTCCAGCCAGCTGCCGAAAATAGTGAATGTTTATATGAGTTGCAAAAAGCATTTTAAATTGAATAAGAGCAAATCCTTTTATCGATAAGTGTTAAATGTATATCGGTCATCGGCAATTTTGATTTAGTTTATTTCACTTTTTGTTTCATTGAGCACTCAGTCCTAATAGTCTAATCATATTAGCAAATTTCCCCGAAATAATTCTAAAGTCTTTTTATAAACTTTTTATTCGACAGCAAAGAATGAGAAAACGTGTTTTTTTATTCAATCGAAAGTGTTGCCAGGAACGAGAAAACTCTTTGAATCAGATTTTCAGGGGTTTATGAGACCTATAGAATTAGACCACACGTAAAAATATTTCACTAACAGTAAAAAATTTATGGCCGAAAATCCAGGTTTCTTCATACCCGGAAGCTTCTTACTTCTAAATAACCACAACAAAATTGAGGTCAATTGTAGTTTTTGAGAATTTTTGATTGTTTATTCCAAAACACCTGTCTTCCGGCCGTCACTACTAGTTTATTGAGCAATATACAGGATTCGTTCAAATGGTATTTTATAGCAAAATACACGTTTACCTTGCCCACATGAATCCCAAGACATTCCGAAAGATAATTGTTATTTTTATGCGAAAAACTAAAGTTTTTTTCTTGTAAACAAATTCAAACATTTCGTATTTGTTAGTGATTGAACAGATTTGCTACGATATTCGAAAAACATAGTTTATTGTACACATTTTAAAACAAAGCGGATGTGTCTGTCACCTTTTGTTACAAAGGAAAAAAGATGTTTTTCAAGATTTCTTCATACTTTTGTGTATACATATTTAGAGTTGAAATTTTTACGTACGATTAAAACGACAGCGAGTTCAAAATGTTGGAAAACAAACTCGAGAAAACGAAAAAACAGTAGACAAATGTCAACCAATTATGTTCCATCCTCGTCGAAGTGAATATTTAGAATACATAATGTAGTACCCTCGTAGTGTACCAAACCCACACGATTTCAAAGCGCGCACGCTGGGAAGGAAAGCGGCACCCCCCCTACCTTCCTCCCCTCTGGCCGGCTACCAACCGTTAACATGTCAATCGGCGCGTCGCTTTTACGTTTTCAGCAGTGTCGAGGAACCTCTGAACATTTAGAATTAGAGAACAGGACAGAAGGGTGGCCGATAGATGTGCATTGCCGGCAAGATACCAACCGACGGTCGCTTCAAGGTTCCTTTCGTCGCGGAGCAAAATTAGAAAGTGGCGTGCAGGCCTCTTTTTCTGAAGGGGCGTCACCATCAGGTAATTATCGACTAACCCATCTGTTTAAGGTGCAAGTTAGGTGAATATTAGTATGGACGCTCTGACATTGTTGCTTGGGATAACAACCTGGACCTTGCAGGAACCTGCGGTTCTGCAATCGTTAACCTTTCCCATTACACTACGACACCTCTTGATTTACTGGATCTTACCTCTACCTCTCTACCTCTATACTTGACACTGAAAAATGTCTAGCGAACGTTGAAGGTTTATCAAATCTGTTATAAGCAATCAGAATACTCTTGATAGCTATACAAGATACAATGCTAAAACTTTAAATAATGCATTAGGGACTAATACCGAGCATTTTGCCTATTTTTTCAGAGAATCAGTTTGCTACAATTGGTTGATATTTGTCTACTATTTTTTCGTTTTCTCGAGTTTATTTTCCAACATTTTGAGCTCGCTGTCATTTTAACCGTACGAGATTTCGAAAACACACGTATACTATATTGTAATAATACTTTTAGAAGAAAGGTCCATGGAATTACATTTCTTCGTAAAGAAACTGGATAACGTGGCCTACTTATTTGCCAAAGTCATGTAGTCATCAATAATGCAGTCATTTAGCACATGCTATATAGTAACTAGTCTAAGACAGTTTAAAACATTATTGTGTCATCAGTTTGCGTACTTGCTTTATGAACAGTTCAGCACATTTTCAGTATGAATTATTTTTTGTTTATAAACTTTAAGGCTTATCTGTGGCCAAATAAAAAATTCAGCTCCAAATATGTATATACAAGAGTATGAAGAAAACTTGAAAAAAAACTTTTTTCTTAGCAACAAAAGGTGACAGGCACATCCGCTTTGTTTTAAATACGAAATTTTTGAGTTTGTTTAGAAGAAAAAACATAACCCTTCTTTTTTCTCATAAAAATAACAATTATATTATCTTTCGAAATGGCTTGTGATTCATGTCAGTAAGGTAAACTCGTGTTTTCCCATAAAAATTGGTGTACCCATTTAATGCGTCCATGCTTTAAATACCTCCTTGAACAGCTTGCATCAATAAAACCAGACTATACAATTATTTCGCAAAGCAGGGGTATTTTCGTCTATTTTGATTAAACTATAATCTAAAACTGATTAACACAATTGTATACCTAACAAAAACATTAAAAGATGCTAAATATTGGAGGTAATCCAAATTATTTGATGGATACTGAAAAGGTCCAACCGAAACTTTATTCTAAGTAAACTAAACAATAACTTTATCTACCTTAATTTTGATTCTGAAGTTCTTTGAAAAGTTAGATTTGCGTTATAGGTAATAATTTTACGATCTCGTCTAGTGCAACAAGATTCTATTTAGGAAGCTAAGTACGGCCAAAAAAAATACGATATCGGTTTAATTAAAATACTTCCACATATTTTTATTGGAGATAGTGACAATCTGCTCGGAAAACGACTACTATTCAGAAAAACCGAGTAGAATTCGTGCAAGGTGTTCCACTATTTCCAGTATCAGGTTTTCGGGATTGTTGCTGAGTGATGAAAAGTATGTTTCGTATTCTTCACCTTCCAAAATCACGAATTAAGCAGAATTGTTCATATGCTGTACCATTAAGAAATATTTACTTCAGTTTCTTCGCCTTATTTAAATTATCCCTTTTTATTAACAATAACTGAATGATTCACATCGCAACACCGATAGTATTTGTGCCTTGCTCTATGTGTGTACACTCAGTATGAATAGCTACCTGATAATCCCTTCCAGAGAAAAGATTGTACACCGATTAAAGCCCTGTTCGTACAGCTATCACCAATCTGACAGTGATTGTGTCCAAGATCAATGAACACAAATTCCGTTCATTCTGCTACGCTATATAGACGGAATTCACATGGCTAGATCCCAGACACAGTCACCGACCACTGTGCGAACAAACCTGTATTGGTTTTTCACTTTGGTAGGCAAAGGTAGGCACTAAAAGCACAACATTTTTAAGGCATATAGGCTTGCATCCTTCTAATCTAGTCGAATTAGTTGGTAACAATCAGCATACTACGCTTGGTACCAACTAGGTTTCCGGGGTACCGATGAAGTTATTCAGCCATTTCGAACTGAGCTACTAGGAGGCAACTATTTCTAGTCAATGCCTGTGCATACCTTGGGACGCATTACTTACAGGTATCATGCCTCTGCAGACTTAACTGCCATTAGGAAGGGTTAGGGAGATTAAGCTCATGAAAAGTTCAACTGAATATCGTAATGTGTGTTGAATTCTTGAACGAACCATAACAACATTTCCGATGCCTTCATGAGTTTTATTAGTTGAGCGATCTATGTCATCGTATCTTATATTATGACTTACATTGGACTGGGATGAAGAACAACAAGAACAAAGTACCAACTAGCGCCGTATAGCCCATATAGTAATAAGTCAGATACATCACTATCAGTATTTCAACTGGACCTACCCAAAGATGGTGGAACATACTTGTACATGCATCAAATCTAGACACATCATTTGATAGGAGGTTCACCATTTGGCCTATGGTTACTTCGCCTAAAATAAGCAAAATGTCATATGGACGCATGGTAAGTAAAACGGTTTAAAAAATTAAATAGATGCTCTATCTGGTAGTTCAGTTGGGGATTAAAGAAAGGAGCATATTACCTAAGGCCGACCTATTCAGTTTTAGTGACTTTCGATAGATCAAAGCACAGCAAGCTATTCGTAGCTTCAATCCCACTTGCATGATGTTCATTTGAAAGACATGCATGCACAAAACGCTGAGGAACAATAAAAGTACGATAAGTATTGCGTACATGTAAGCCTCATTTTTGTCTTCACCTGCTGCATTGCTATCGTAGTAACTAAGTAGCCGTGCCATTAACAAGGGCTGTAACATTCTGGAATAATAAAAGAATATTAAAAATAACTGAAAGCAAAATAAGTAAATGTAAACAAGGTCTAATTTAATCATATTAACCGTAATGGGTTTTTTTCGGCAGAAACTGTCCTTAAAGATTGAAGTGTTATACAGGATGGCCAAGCGAGTGACGACATAAAAGACAAATTAGGTTCCTCAGGTCGAGAGGTATCTGAATAAGCCCCATGTATATGGTCCGATTCTTTTTACTTCAGGAGTTATGATTTTTTCTTTATTTTCCAAGAATTTTCGAGTTTTGGCACTTGACACGTCATCACTACCGACCAGCCACGGCATCTACGGTACAGGACACGTCAGTAGTTCTAGTATAAATAACCACGAACGGCACATGTTCGCCAGTTGACGTGAAAACGAACGAAGATACTATCACAGTTAGCATTGCTTTATACGAGGGATGTCTTTTAAGTTTTGCATATGGAAATAAAACAACACGGTAGGTAGTTTTAAATGACTTTATAGTTTCTCGAAGTATTCTCCACGAAGATTAATACACATCGGCATGCGCTCGAACCAAGTTTCGAAGTACTTATTCCACTCGTTTGCTGGCAGATCCAAAACGGCATTTTCGAATGCGTCAACTACTTCTTCTGGTGACTGGAACCTTTGACCACGCAGTTTGTTTTTAATTTTCTGGAAAGTGAAGAAATTTTTAGGAGTTAGATCGGGACTATATGGAAGATGGTCCAATAATTTCACGTTTTCTTCGGTTAAATACTGCCTTGTTTTTTGGGCTGTGTGCGAGCTTGCATTGTCTTGGTGGAGGATGATTCTTCTTTCGGGGTTGATTTTTCGAAGCTCAGTGATGACTTTTGTCAAACAAATGGTGGAATACCAACCGCAGTAACAGTTCTTTGCTCATTAAGAGAAATTGTTGCAATATGACCCGCTTTTGACATAAATGTCGCGACCATCTTTTCCGAAACACTTCGAGAACGGATGACTTTTGTTGGCTTTTCTTCACCTGGGAACACCCAAACAGCCGACTATCGTATATTTTCTGGTTCATAACAGTAAATCCACGATTCATCACCACTAACAATGCTGTGCACATTTTTTGAGTTTCCGGAATTAAAACGGTCAAGCGTTTTTTGACACCAATGGCTGTTTTCTGCTCTCCAGTCAACAGGTGGGGTATCCAACGAGAAACTAATTTTCTTACTCCTAATTCTTCATGTAAAATTTTTTGAATTGCGGTCTTTGAGATCTTCAAGGACGCCTCAATCTCGCGATATGTCACATGTCTATCTTCAATGATGGGTTTGCGCACAGCATCGACGTTTTCCTGGGTGACTGCCGTTTTTGGTGCACCCACCCTGGGATCGTCGCTAAGACTCAACCGTCCACGTTTGAATTCTCCATACCAACGGGAAACTATCGACTGATGTGGCGCTTCGTTGCTGAAAACAGACAGTAACTCAGCAAGGCATTCTTGTTGCGATAATTGTCTCTGAAAGTTGTAATAAATTATGGCGTCAAAATGTTCTCGGATGAGTTCCATTTTTCTAATGACTTGGTGACACTTAAAAATTCACTGTAGTGAGAACACTGCACGTATTGTTGTGAAACTTTGAATTTAAGTTTACTAAAGAGTGAGGTTAAGATTCAGTACTGACGTTGGATCCGCGCGGCCTACTATGTTTCTATATGCAAAACTTAAAATCCCTCGTATATTTAATAATTGATACGATTCCTAGCTGTTTCAGCTTTCTTTCTCATCACTGAGCAGTTTGCTTTGTCGAAAGCAGAATGATCAGTGTGCAAATTTAACTTGAATTTTTAGTTGAAGTCCTGGCAATTCGGGTATGATACTTCAGAATATACGTATATACACATGTGTGCCGTATGGCCCTTGACTCCACATTTTAAGCAAAACAGCCCACTGGTGCATTTATTTGAGGTATGGTTATAACCACTACATTTGTAACATCTAAGTAGGTTTATATTCACATAAACTAAACATATTGTCAGATTGACACACAGTATTCCATTTTCTAAAATATTGTGATACGTTTTTGGGTCGCATTCAATACCTAATAGCGAAATATCTTGTTCTCATTTGTTTTATCTTGACTACTTCCAAATATGCATCACTTTTAATGAAAACGTGTTGTTCTTTTATTACTTCGATAAGTTCTTTATTATTCATCATTTGTTCAATGCCAACTATTTTGATTTTAGGATTTTGGAAAGCACTTACAATGTTTCAGGTGTACGAGCTACTCAATTTCTTGTTGAGTATATCATTTGTTCTTTCTGCTTCCTCTTTCTGTGCGCACGTCACTCGTTTGGCCATTCTGTATAAGGAGTATGCACAGCAGCTCAAATGTGTAAGAATGCACGTGAAACTGATTCTGGTACAAAAACATTTAAAAGTACGTTCACACGACACACACACACACTCCATGTTTGTTCCTATATGTAATCCTCCACTTTTTTTCAGATTCCACGGTGTTTAAAACTTTTTTAATTGGTTTTTAACATTTAATCAGCTTACCTAAGTGCTTCAACTATGATAATTAAAATATCTAAAAAACATATTTCTGCTAAGTAAACTTTCGCAAGCGTCCTTATCAGTGAGGGTTTTTTGTTATTATTGATCTCGCAATTCCAGGCAGCTTCTAGTTCATTTCCCAACACTTCCGAGTCATGTTTTCCCCTGTGCTTGTGTATGTCATCTTCGATTAGCTCTTTTTTGCATCCTTTTACGAAATATGGACACAGCCAACTAGAAAAAGAATATTCAATTTTTTGGTTGGCTGCTACGTAAATGTTGCTTCTGTTGAAAAGCCTGAGTAGAGTCGAGAACTCTTTGTTCGGAGGTATATGAAGAGCGAGTCACGCTCATGCACATCAGTACTACTTTAGCTGTAATCACGTACAGAATAAAAATTAAGACACCGTGTACTATGAGTATCAGCCAGGGTGTTCTGCTGCACGAGCTACACGTAACATACGCCAAAAGGTAGCCCATGACACAGTCTTCGAGGCAATATCAAAGCCGTGGTTCCAACCACTCCTCAGAGGTGAACATTCCCTGATAGATCAGAAAAGGTCTGGGCTTCCAGTGGAAACAAATAAATAACACAAATAAACGTAAGACATTAATTCAAGGAGAAGGATAGGATGCGTGATTTGGCTGTAGACCTCGAATGCTCTGATTATTATTATTCTTGTCATTGTCATTGGATCCTTGGGTAGGATTCAATAAAATCAATCCATACACGTATGATAAGCATCGGCAAGCATCTTAGCCGAGTTTCGGGTTGATCGTAATTGCAGTAATAAGTGATAGGTAATTAGCCATCCACTCAAATACTATGAATATTGAGTAGCTAAGACGATGAAATTCGCTAATTAGTCAGTCAGTATTATTGCCAAGATAGACCGAAATTCCAGAGGGCATTCCAACAATAACTTAAAGTTTCTGTTGTTAAAAATTTGACGCTGTTGGGACCAAGTAACATAAACCGTTATTAAGACAAAATATAGATTTATCAGGTAGCATCGATTTGACAAAAAGATGTAAGGTAACTTACCTAATCACTGTCATATGCTGAGAAGGCTCTTTAAGATCGTCGCGCACTAAGGTCAATACACTCGGTAGGTTTTACACGTTAGTCATATAGTTAACAATTGAAAACTGACCAGAAGTATCTCCAAAAGCAATGGCCGTATCACTTTTAAGACAGTTCATTCTCAAGACGAGACATTCGAGTAAAAGTCTGACACTCGATTTGGAATAAGTGGATTTAGCTATGTGGGTACGAAACAGAACAACTGATTATTTATCGAAAGTTACATGATACCTTTATCAACTCTCTAAGATTAAAAATGAAAAGGTTACTCTGTCAGCCAAAAGAGCAACCATGAAAGATGTAAAATGAGCTGACACTGGTTATAATAATATAACAATAAATTAAAATTCAAACTTCAATTTAAATAATAAGCTCATTGAGTATAAAAAGAGAACTAGAGATATAAATTAGACAATTTGTATGAGATCAAGACCTGATAACGCTTGCACTGGTATGCGTTGTGTGCAGCTTCTGCAGCGAATTTCCTATACTGATGCTCATATCTACCACCTACCATTTCCTAAATGAATGTATATAGTGAAGCAGTAATAGTATCTCTTGAATTTTTTTAGTCCGACGCCGAATCTGTTTCTCTGCATGGTGGTATTGTCATATTAACGATATTATTATGATCAGAAACAGTTTTTATTTCCTTAATTTAACAACGTGCATCGGATTGAAAAAAGGCGAGCCATCAAATTTGCTTAGAAATGATTGCGGATTTTGAAAATAATTTTTGATTTACGAAAAATCACTGGCGTACCATCAAAATAGGCAGGTTAAATGTCGCTACAAACGCCACTAGTGCAAATTTAAAAAGATGTGGTGCTTTAAAAATGGCTCTTGATACATAGCCAAATCACATCTACTCGTATATATCTAAAGTGGTATTGTAGATATTAACTATAAGTGGTTTATTTTTTGAAGCTCTACCAGTCTGTATCTCAAAAGCTACGATGTTTCATACGGTGAAAATTTCATATGAACTTTTCTTCTCAAAATGGACCCAAAGACCACCACTATAAATATTGGCATGTTATAATAGACTTCTTTATTCCTTATGGCTTCCGCGCGAGTGCACAATCTGCCAGGGACATGGGTTTTAATATTGCGTACTTCCTCTACATACTTGCAATCACAGCTAAAGTATTGCAGAATTATACGTACATAATCGCGACTCGCTCTTTATACGAGTACATCCCCCACCATAAGCCGTTCTTGACTCTACTCAGGTTTTGTATGAAATAAAAACTAAAGCGCTCATTACATGTTAGCCAATCTAATGTAACCGTTGACGAATGACAAGTTATCGTTAAATAAGCAAACAAAAAATAAAACATATAGACAAAGTAGATAAGGAAATCAGGCAGATAGATTAGTGTATTCACAAGATTATAAGCAAACAACGTACAGATATTTTATGCTCATTTTTGTACGTTTTCTAGAAATATGTTATCTCAAACGGTATGAATAAACTTACCAAAAACATAACTTTGAAAGAAAATTTGCTCTATCATACTTATTCCTCTTTTTCAGTACTTCTTCAAATTCATCCATCTCCTATATTTATTTATATCTGAAAGAACAGAATAAAATTGCTTTCAGTCTTGATACTTTACATTCTATCAATTCAGGTTTTAATAACCGTCTGTGATGATTTATCTCAAACGTCGCCAAGAATATTTTTAGCTATCGCCGATTTCTGATAGATAGTGATTTCAAATACTTAACGTCAACGACCTTTATATTTCATCATGCAAAATATCTGACTCGATAGAGCCGTTCAATATATATTTAATTAAGTTGAAACTGTTAGACAACGCTTCAATGACGAGTAATGTTATTATTTATATGTGGTGTGCCGAAATTGAGTGATAATTCTGTAACTGTAGATAGGTCACGTCATGGCCTACAAGATGGTAAAATTTTGCTTTATCAAAAGTCTTATAGTTTTCGAGATTTACAGCCTCGAATTTTTTTATTGACAAACAGTTAATCCCGTGGCATTTTTACAAATATCAACTTTTTTGAACCAGGTTTGATTTGAAACACTGAGAATTAGGCTCCTATCTCGTACAGTATTATGTTTCCTTGAGGCGGCAGAAAACCCACATTATGCCAAAGTCTGAATTCTTATCACCCTGTAGAGAGAGAGGATCAAGTACGATCATTGTGCCAATTTGTCGGAAAACTAACTGAATATGAGCCAGTTTTTAAAATGCTGAAAATCTCACTAACACTAACTGAAACCCGAGGAAGGTTATAGGCATGGTTTTATCTGCAAAAATATGCAACGCGCTCAGAATATTTCGGAAAATACGTCCTAAAGAAAAATGTTTTAGAACAAAGTTTGGTGACTTGGCAAGGTTCATCAATTGGTGATCTTGAGCATAACCTTGACTATGACCTTCAAAATCATTTGTTATCTAAAGAAGGCAATCATCTCATCAGAAGCATGCAATGACGACTGGATGAATGTATACGGTATCAAGCTTATGATACACTTTAATCGCTACTTCCTTTTACCCATATATAACTGTATACAAAATACATTCAAATAAAATAATTTTTACCGGATGCTCTATTTGCTTTGTCGCGAAATACATATATATTATAGTATTGAATCACATGCTTGTGAATATATGAACGCTGAGATATGCAAAATAAAACATTGTTGTTATTTCACTTGCGTATATGAACAATTAACGCCGTGACTCATCAATGATACTAAAACAACTGTATTGCATATTTTCAACAACGAAATGCATGGTCCATAATTAGTGAGTAGCATTCATAACATTTGTTTCCGATAGATTATACTTTGTATTAAGTTCAGTTACTTATGTCAACACATTACCACTACTCAATGCTAATTTTGCGCCATCCTCGGACTCATCGTATCAATTGCTTTATTGTTTGGAACAGAGTTTTGCAAAAGTATATTATTTTTCTATACTAGAGCTGCTGTGGGGATACCGCAAGTGCTATAAGCATATTAAAGGCATCCTCTACAATACTTTTCAGAAAGATCATCCCCTACTAATTTGTAACAAGTTAGTAAGCTAAAATGCGGAGATATTCTAATATACTATATTGTGTCGTAAAAGCTGTAGTTGGGAATTTAAAGATAGAGGCTAGACATTATGTGATAACTAATGCTGAAGGTTCTCATGTGCATTTTATAGCCCTTCAGTATAAAAACATTATCTTTGAAAATACCAAAGTTACAGACTGCCAAAGTTGACCCTTCATGTACATTTAACCATTTTAATTCAAGAACTAATTATCAAAACGCTATTATATATGCTATATTAGTCTTCTTCTTTTTATGAGTAAATGGGTACTAAAATATGCAACAATCCCTTTCAAAACGTTTAAAGGAGACAGTTCGTTTTTAATTGGAATGTACCATATCTAATTATATATTTTGACAGATCCTTCCGCTAGAAGATCAACAAAGCAAACTAGCGTTTAGACGATTGATTGTGGATTTATTAGGGATTTAGGGCCGGTTGTCGTTCAAACTGTAGATCACCTGAACTTCTTCTTAGTTCAACTACACGTCCATTGTTCATCTATCAGTGAAGCCTGGCATAACTGAACGTGGAATATACAACAGTTGACAATACAACAGAACTATTTTGTCAGGCACAGAATGATAAAATAATGCCAATAGTCATTTGAATCTAAATCTTAAGCCCACTTTCATTCATCAGTTTGTTGTTTGTTCTGTTATTGTCACAAACTACCCGTACGTTATAAGTAAAGATACCCTTCCTGTTCTCTTATAATCTTCGTCGAGATCTACACCACCTGAAGATCTTATTCTAATTTTTTAAAACAGTTTGCCAATGAATATATAACTGTCGGCACAACCCTACTTGCAGCTCCTTTCTTTATACCTTGGACTTCCCCTACTACTTGCAAGAAGAACTCATTTGCAACGTAACGCTATATAACAAAAACCATATAATCTGGAGAAAGGGCATGACTTCTATAAAAAAAAATTAGACTTTATACTCTAAAGCAGTGGTCGCCAACCCGTCGATCGCGAGCTACCGGTAGCTCGCAAAGGCAATTCTGGTGGCTCACAAAATATTTTAAAAAGGTGTAAAAATCATAGAAGCTTCCGCACATTTTGTAAATTTCCTTAATAAACACAAGCGTGGCAACACTGCGGTAAGAGTTCTGTTCGAGAACGATCTCGATTACTTTGAAAGAAATAAATACGCAAGACGCGGCGACAGTGCGCTCTGCTTAAAACTGAACGGAACACAGTTGGGTTAGGGTTGGCCAGCAATTAACAACATTTTGAGCAGTAGTAAGATGAAGACATACCATTTCCATTCGGAATTGGAAGAACAATATTTCTTTACGGAAGTTAAAGGTAAAAATATATGTCTGTTATGTAATACATCTGTTTCCGTTGCTAAAAAAGGGAATATCGAGAGGCACTATAAAACTGTACATTCGAATTTTGAGAAATCATTTCCATTACGTTCTGCAACTAGAACGGAAAACTGGAACAGTTAAAAAATCTGTTAATGCAACAACATGCAATGTTTTTAAAAACAATCGTCAAAAATAAGGCTGCAACTGAAGCATCATACCGGGTGTCCAAGATAATTACACAAAAGAAGAAACCTTATGAAGACGGGGAAATGATAAAACGTTTTTCGAAGCTGCAGATCCATTATTTGCCAACTTTAGAAATAAATACGAGGTTGTGTCTGCCAGAAAATCTATGCAACTTTCTACTAACACAGTGATGAGGCGAGTAGAAGTTATGAACAATGATATAGTTTTACAGTTAAGAAATGACTTTAATAACTGTGCTTGTTTTTCACTGCACACTGTATGAATCCACATATATGTCGTTGACATCTCTCACATAGCCGTGTTCGTCATGATGGCTTTTAGTGATTTTACGATTAAAGATCTTCTGAAGTTTATTAGACCAAAAGGACAGACTACTGGGGAGGACTTGTTTCCTTCATTCAAAAATATTATTTCATCTGAAAAAATTCCAATATCGAAAATGGTAGGCTTGACAACCGATGGCGCTCCAGCTATGATGGGTCATGATAAAGGTCTAGTGGGGTTATGTCGTAAAGATGAAAGTTTTCTACACTGTATTATCCATCAGCAAGCATTATGTGTACATGTTCTGAAACTAAACAACGTTATGAAATTGGTAGTGAAAATTGTGAACAAGATTAGGGCTCAAGCGTGACAAAGAAAATTATTCAAAACCTTGCCCGATGAAAATGACTGTCAATCCGGGGACTACTTATTTATTAACTCTGAAGTCCGATGGTTGAGTAGGGGACGAGTGCTGAAACGTTTTAATGCTATCATATCTGCCCTAGTTCAATTTTTCAAACAACGTGATGAACCGATTCAAACTTAATCGATGGCGATACCAGGCATTTTCCTGTTCTTTCAGAAAAGATATCTCAAAGACCACTAGAACCTTATGACAATAAATATCATGTACACAGAGTCTCTAACTTGAAATATTGCTTCAAAAATCGTTTCAAGGAGTTCAACGAAATTGCTATAGTGGTGCAATTTGTTGTTTCACCCTTCATGGAAATTGATATCCAACAGTCTTTAGCTTCTGTTACGCAGAATTTTAGCAAACACATCGCTGCAAAAGAAATGGAAGTGATTGCGTTTCAAAATGATTTATCTTTAAAATCATTAGTCTCAAATACAAAATGTATCTGGTCTTCATTGAGTAAAGATAAATATTCAGTTTTATGTCGTGTTGCCTTGAAAGTGAAAGCGTTATTTAGTTCAACCAATTTGTGTGAATCTTCTTTTTCAAATATGAGGTCTATTAAAAGCAAATTCCGTAATCGACTTACAGATGAACATTTGGATAATTGTATTCGAATGGCGGTATCAAATTATACTCCAAACATTAAAGAATTGTCAGTGGGTCTGAGTGTCAGGCTTCACTTTGAACACGCATTTATATCTGGACATTTTTTGTTTAAAATAGTGCGTTGCTTTTTTTATTTTTAGTTACCTTTATTAAATCGTATGTGACATGCCACTTTAGCTGACGAAAATTTTTTCAAACACCTACGATTGGTAGGAATGGATGTAGTTATGTAGTATGTATTAGTTATTATTATATTTTAGTTTATTAATATGTATTAGTAAAATAAACACATGTTTGTTGCATACTACTGTGTATAATTTTATTTAAGTTGGCTTACATTGCCTACGTCTAGGTAGATCACAGTTTATTCCCAAATTAGCGAAGTCAACACACTGAAAATGTTGGCGACCACTGCTCTAAAGACTTCTTCAAATCAACACCTGCATAATATATATCAGATAGTGCCTTTTTTCCTAACAAAGTTCAGTTTCAAAAATGAGAACAATATTTACCGTTTAACAGTTTAAAATTTGTCCTATAAGATATATAACTATGCCACAGGAATATTAGACACCTCATCCTACAGCAACTGCAGAAATCAAATTTGCATTCCACAAAATATTAAGCCAGCAGTTTGGTATTCAGGAAACAGCAATACAGTGTTTTTTCCAAAAACGTAAAGCACC